ATTTTTTTTTTTTGTAAAATGCACTCAGTCTGCTTAATTAACAAATATCTTTGAATATATCCTACTACGCTATCATTCACGAATGGATCATCTATTTCATTTCGAAGCTTATGTTTGATATAGCCCAAAGATGATGAAAAAAAAACTTTCAACAATTACAGTTGCAACCAGTAAAATTAATACAAGTTTGAGAAACAATTAGATCGATGAGGGCGAGCAGAGGTTGACCACTGATGATGGACTAGAGGGAGGGGGATCATATGAACGATTGAAGTAGGGTAGAGAAGATGAGTCGACTCTAAAACTGTTTTGTTGTTCCTTTACTTTGCTTTGCCAGTATCGGAATCGAGGAATTGAGGATTTAATTTCTTGGGTTGGATGAAAATTTTGGAAAATTAGGATTTAACTGGAATTTGTTTTAGTGTATAACTACATTTACGGATGGCTATGGGGTGATTTTGGAGCGGGTTTGCCTAAACTAACCTCATCCCCATTTTCAAATACGCAACCCATACCCGCCCAATACCCATGTGGTGGAAGGTTTTACAAAGCCATCTCCCTACCCACGGATTTCGGATACCCATGGGTAATACCCGCCCCATAAGCTACTCACCATTAATAAAAGAATATGGTGACAAATATGGATACTACCCTCCCAATATTATGGAACTATTACATAAGAGGATGAAATCAGGGTTCGGTTGCTATCAATTACATTTTAACACTTTATTTTTTCTTCTTTTAATTACCCTTCATTCATTGACAAGTTACTATAGACTCCTTATATTTTATGCATTTAACATAATATCCTTGATGGGGCGGGTTTGGGTATAGGTATGGGGCGGGGGAGTCCAACACTATACCTGCCCCATACACATCAACCTTTTTGCGAGTTTTACCCATTCCCGCCTCATACCCAATCAAAGTAGGGATTCCCCACGTTGACTGGATCGGAGGTGATCGGGTACCCGCAATCATGGGTTTGGTTGCCATCCCTAACTACATTTATGTTTCAAACATGACAAAAAAATTATTTGTAGTGAATTGGATAACATGTCCTTTGATAACTGCCATATCACTGGTTTGAATCACAAAAATAACCACCTTTTTTCTTTTCCCCAAACTCAAACTCTCAGGTAGGCTCGTTATTTTGGAGGAAGTTTCTACGATTGAGACTGTGATTCTACTAACGACTAGAAGTTAATGATCAGTTTTGGGTGACTTGGGAGAGCAGTATTGTGCAAAAGGTTTTAGAGAAGAAGGTCTGGGATATATTCATTGAAACCTCGTAGGGAAAATTTGTTGTGGTATAAGGTTGTGTGAGTTAAGTTTTTTTTTATTCCCAGATATTGATTCCTCACTAGGCTAGTTATTTTGAATAACATCAAATTAAATAAGAAATAAGCTATATGAATTGGATATGCAGATTTTGCAAATGTGTTCTCTATGGTCAATAGTATGAAGCAAGAGACTATTTGTTTTGTGCTTGCCCATTTTTAGATGCCATTATTTCTGCTATCTTCTAAGATATAGTCTAGTATGGCAAGGAGAGTGGAAGGGTATGCTTGCTCTGACTTGCAATCTTCTTCATAAGCTGCGGATAAAAGACTTTTTTTTTTTATTTCCGAGTGATATTAAGAAACGATAAGAGTTATACAAACAAAACTTATTAAAAACTCTCTATAAGCGACACCCTAGTGAAACCACATAAAAAAGTCAAAAGATTATGGAATGTTTTGGTGGTGTTTTAGGTGCCACTATATGGGCAGCACTGTTGACGGATAAAAGACTTTGTGGGGTGTTTTACCGACTTGGTTTGGAATGAGCATTGTGGAAAGGGTCTTTAGTAACCCAAGCAGAAGCTCGGAGAAATTTTTTGCCCAGCTAAAAGAAAATGTCAGGTTGTTCAGTATGGGGCAGCTGGTGTTTTTTCAGATGATCAGGAGTTCATATTTTAGCTTATTGTTAGCACACAAGTCTTTTCATTATATAGCTTTCATAACTTGTTATTTGTGTAGTTAGGAATGCTTAGTATTTGGTAGTTATTGAAGTACAAAACATGTAGGTCGTTTGGATGGAGTATTTGTATGAGTTATTTGTGATACTTTATTTCAATTACCACTGAAATAACACTGAAATACCACATGAACAATAAATAAGTTATTTGACTCTACAAATACCACATTGACAATTAACCCATCCAAACGACCCCGTAGGCCGCTTGCCAGACTAGTTTTTCGCAGCTTGGTCAATTGATCAAGTGGGTTTAATAAATTAACTCAATTACCAAAAATATTCATTTTTAATTCCTGATTTTCAGTTCTACATTATTGTAATCCAATTGAAACTACATAATGCATACCAAAAACTAAAGAATGTGTACTAGAAACACTAGAATTTACACTAGAAACATAACAATGCATTCCAAAAATACAAGAAAGCATACCAAAAACACTAGAATGCATAACATAAATATCGGAAAATATAGAAGAAACACTAGAATGCATACTATTAGTAATCTCCTGAGGCATACGTGAAATGCAGAAATACAATAATACATAAAAAAAATTAAATAATAAGAAAAACTAAGAAATTCGTACCATTATTGAATGAGGTGAATCTTTTGTTAAATAAATATATGAAAAATGGATATCATATCATATATACTAATTAATTTAAGCTTTCTCTGCAAAAGTATTTGACATCCGAGTTAAATGAACGAGTTATGATTCGTTTAAAATGGAATTATTTATGTAGAAAGTTGGCAAAATTTTATTATAATAGCTTGTTTTTCTTTAGGTTTTTTTTTATAAAGGTGATATAGGTTTTACTTTTTTGTTGTTTAGGTACTACTTAAGGGATTTAAACCTGTGATCTGAGGAGGGCCAGTCGAAAATTCGGCGGGTTTTTTGGAGGAATATGTGTAGAAGTAAGCATGATGGGGGAATGAGGTTTCGTCGATTTGAACATTTTAATCAGGCTCTCCTAGCTAAAATTGGGTGGCGAATTTTAAATGAACTTGATTCCCTCCTTGCTCATGTTTATAAAGGGAAGTATTTCCCTCATGGTTCTTTTCTCTCGGCAACAGCTCGGTGTAGACCTTCGTGGGGTTGGCAGAGTATCCTCCATGGTCGGGAGCTTCTGGCAACGGGGTTACGTTGGCAAATTGGCAATGGTCGGCAAGCCGCCCTCCTAACGTCCAATTGGATCCCTAGCCTGCACCCGCTCCCCCTAGGTATAATCCATGTGTGCTTCTAGAATGGGTGGAGCTGAAGGTGGCAGAGGTAATTCAACCTGGTGAAGGACGATGGTGCGATGATAAGCTCCGGCAATGGTTTGATCCTATGACATGTAAGGCCATAAGGGCGATCCCGTTGCCTCGCCAAGATGTAGAGGATCGTTTGGTATGGTATTCTATAACTGATGGTGTGGTCACTGTTAAGTCGGGTACCATTTTGCGGTCACTCTGGATCAACAACGGGGCAGGTGAAAATCCACGGTTAGTTGGATGGATCGAGCTAGTTGGATCCGATTGTGGGAGGCAGACATACCTCAGAAGTTAAAGGTGTTTGTTTGGCATATTTTTTGGAGGATATTGCCTACTAAGAAGGCGTTAATCGAAAAACAAGTTGTTGTTCTACCCAGGTGTCCCGTTTGCTGGGGCGGGGCTGAAACAATGGAACATATGTTCCTTGACTGCATAGTTTTTCGTGCCATTTGGGATCACTCTGGGCTGGCTCACCTAGGGGAAGGGTTGTCTCGGCATACCTTCCCGCTCTTTCTGAAGAAGATCTTGGCTCTGGTTGACCGGAAACCTCAGTTTATAATCGCTGTCCTTTGGAGAATTTGGCGATCTCGTAACTGGGTTGTCTTTGAAGGCAAACAGTTTGTGATTGCATCCTTGATGTGACAGTTCAATCAACAAGTGCAAGAGTGGGTTAGACTCCTTAGGGACCAGCCCCCCCCCCCCCCCCCCCCCCCGACCTCCTACTACTCTTAGTCCGGTGGATTCTATGGATCCAGCCCTGGCGATTTGTATGTGGGATGAGGCGATTAGGGCTGGTTCTCATTCGGCAGGGGATGGTCTTCTTGACTCCAGCCCGTGAAATACTCCTTGTTCAAGGGGGTGCAGTTCTCGGGGATTGATGACCCACTGGTAATGGAGCTGCTGACTCTTCGGGAGGCTATCTTGTGGTGCTTAGGGCAAGGTTTTTCTGAGGTGCGATTTGAAGGCGATGCCCAGGTGATTATTGAGAAGCTCCGTAGGGCTGAGACCAGAGATAGCCGGGTTGGGCCCATTCTAGTAGAGGTAAGCAATTTGTTTGTGGCACATACAGGGTTTAGTGTTCGATTTGTAGGTCGGAGGAACAATAGGGTAGCTCATCTGGTAGCTCGCAAGACCCTTTCTTTGTACCCGACTACGAGTCGTTTCTTTGATTTCCAGGCCTGGCTGTATTCCAGGATGTAATTGCCTATATTTCAATCAATATATGATTATCTTTTGTCCAAAAAAAAGGCTAGTAGTATTACCACTAGAGCAATCCCTTTATTCGTTTTTCTTTAGGGTTATTATAGTGCCTTGTTTTAATTTTACTTAGTCTTGGCTTGGCTTATAGTTGTTAGTAATATTTTGAGCTTTTACTTTCAGGATTTCTACCGTGAATAATGTTTCGCTGAATCAGGACATCACAAGTCTATGTTTGAGCCATTGTTTTACTTTTAATAAAGTCACCAATAAAATAATATTTTATCGATATGAAATACTATAATGAGTAATCACGATTGTATAATAAAATACTCTATTACTAATGTGTCCGGTTTGATCTTCAATACAATTTTTATAATCTAGTAAACTGGACAAGTTCTAGAGTCTCCACCACATAAGAATTAGGAAGACTAGTCTTTAGACCAAACATGTGGATCCACTGCCCAAACAAAGTGGAAGAAGAGGTTTGTTGTTTATTTTGAACATTAATATTAAAATTAGAAACAATACTGCCCATGCATCTCGGTGTTTCTGGTGCATACATAATATTATTATCATTTGCAAATAATTAACAATGCGTTTAGAAAGCTTTACATTGAACACTAAAAAAATACAGTTACAAAATTCATTCATCTATCCAGCGGCGGATCTAGGGGCCGCCCTGGGCCACGACCCAACCCTCTCCGGATGCAAAACTCGTATAGTACTTGTAAATTTTTGATTTTGGGTATATATTTCAATGTTTATAGGGTTATGGTCTAACCCTCTCCACCGCTTGTTAAATGCGGCCCATAACTCTAACTTGTTCTGGATCCGCCGCTGCATATAACCCATACTAACCATATAAAAACAACAATATCGTATTGCATACTATTGTATACACTTGAAATAAATAATGAAAACACCCTAAAAACACATCTCTAAACGAATGAACAGTCATAGTAATAGTAACCTCTATCAAATGCTGTATAATTAAATGACAAACTGACATGTTCTTCCTTCAGGAATCCCTGCAGCAGCCATCCTTCTTCTCCATCCCTTTCAGCTGAAAACCAAGCTACAGAGCAACAGTACCATAACCTACAATACTTTTGCATTACATATGCAGGAAAAAAAGAAATCCAACTGGCAGGAAACCCTGAGATCCAAATCTAAATCAGTCCCATTTCCATCCCACAGTTTTCCCAAAGACAATACCTTCATTGATCCCACAATGGAATTCGAGATGCCCACAGATTTCAGACTTCTTGCTTAGAAAAAATAATAAAGTAAACCTCAATCATGAAGCAAGTTGACATATATATAAGAATTCCCATTCTAGTTGATGAAGATTAATAATATGAGGGGGGGAGAAAAGAACCAGATTCAGTTATAATGGGTGGGAATTACAAGGGGCGGTTGATTGACCTTGCTTACCTTTTTTGGGTACTGAATTCAGGCACAAATCCACACATTTTGACTGTTGATCAGAGATTTATTAAAACCAAAATGAGATTTTTCCTGACCAGATTATGTGGAACTATACACTGAACTTGGATTGCTCTACATAGTTGAGTGTGATTTCAGCGGACAAATCCAGAGAATTCAGTTTACTGTCTAGTATTAGCTGCCGACACTTTCTAATCTTAACTACGTCTAGGATATATAATATTACTTAACATTGGTGTAGCTTTCCAAAGACCAACACTGTCCCTTTGCTTATATAAACCCTCCCCAGTCCAGAACCACATAAGTCACTTACCTTCACAGTTGCAGAATAGGAGGACAATGCCTGAGCAAGCTATGGAGCTCCCCGCCATTGATTTCAGTGATCTTGAAGGTGAAAACAGGAGCAAGGCCATGGAGATTCTGCACGATGCTTGTGAGAACTGGGGTTTCTTTCAGGTAATTTGTAATGTTTGATTCACTTCTTATGCAATCAGGTGACAAGATCCCATGATGACATGGAATTTTTCTTTCCTTCTTGTTGCAGGTTCAGAACCATGGGGTTGATGGCAAGTTGATGGAGAAAGTGAAGCAGCTCGTTGATCAACACTACGAGGAAAACCTGAAAGAGAGCTTCTACCAGTCAGAGACAGCCAAGAAGCTGAATAAGAAAGAAAACCCATCTGATGTAGATTGGGAAAGCAGTTTCTTCATCAGGCACCGTCCTACCTCAAACATCCATCAAATCCCAAACCTGCCTCAGGGTTTCAGGTGAGTTCCCTTCCACACGTGAAAACAACGCAAGATTCTGCATAGTATTGTTACTTTGAGTGATGCTCTGACTAACGTTGATATGCATTTCTTATGTCAATTGCAGCAAAACCATCGATGAGTACGTTGCTGAACTGATAAAGCTAGCAGAGAAACTCGCCAGCCTCATGTGCGAGAATCTGGGATTAGATGAAAGTTTCATCAAGGAGGCTTTCTCTGGGAAAGAGGGTCCTGCTGTGGGGACTAAAGTTGCTAAGTACCCAAAATGTCCTGAGCCAGAACTTGTGAGGGGGCTCCGAGAGCACACTGATGCCGGCGGGATCATACTCCTGCTTCAGGACGATCAGGTTCCGGGGCTCGAGTTCCTGAAAAATGGGGAGTGGTTCCAGATTCCTCCATCCAGGAACAACACCATTTTCGTGAATATAGGTGATCAGGTGGAGGTCTTGAGCAACGGAAGGTACAAGAGTACTCTGCATAGAGTCATGGCTGACAAGAATGGAAGCAGGCTCTCCATAGCCACGTTTTATAATCCAGCTGGTGATGCTGTTATAACTCCAGCTCCGGAGCTTCTCTATCCCCACTCATATACTTTTGGTGATTATCTTCAGCTCTATTCTGCCACAAAATTTGCAGATAAGGGGAAGAGATTTGAGACCATGAAGGAACTTGCTAAGGGGAGCAATGGCTTCCATGACTAAGACTGCCCCTTTCTATGTCTTGAATAACTGTTTGCTGGCTTGCTCGCTTCGTTTTCTGTCATCGTTGCTGCTTTACTTTTCCCAATTAAACCCTCGCTAAGTAAGAGGAAACCAGATGGAAAAGTGAACTGAAGAGTTGTTTGGCTCTGTGATTCCGTTCCATCAGAAAGTTATCTGATATAAGAAAAATATCCACTTCATGTACTTAATAACATGATTTGTGCTAAATACCATGAAGAAAACTGGCCATGAACCAGATTCGACATTCAAGAGCAGAGTTCTCAAAATGGATGTCATGTTTTGTGTCTCCAGATCCAGAATATCATTCTCGCAATGATCAAATCTCCGTATCTTCAGCAACAAATTTCCATTTATGCAGTTCATTCTCCCCAACTGGAGTGAGTGAAGATTGTAGTTCAGTGCCACGAATAGAAAACAAATTTCTCGAGTTCGATTCGTCATAAGAAAGAGGAAGCCACGGGACGGGAGACCTACTTACTTCATTGGTAGCCACCCACAGCCGCAGCATCCTTCAGCCAATCAGGCAGCGACTAAAACTCTATATCTACTCTTATTTCATCAGAACCATAACCAAATCAGGAACCCATTGACATTCTGAGTCAGACAATTTATCGAGCAAGTTACGGGCAGCCCCCTTGACCCAGAAATCAACATCATAACTCTCACTCAACTCACGCCTACACAATATATTCAAGTACCGCAGCAAAACGTCTCCTCCTCAACAGAAAAGAAACGCTATAATTCTAGCCTGGAACGTACTGGGCAGCGTTTGTATGATAACACTGTCGTGAAAGTTCCAGAAAAAAAACCATAAAAGGAGCTAAACCCAAATTTAAAATCGAATCGACATATCGATGGAGCTCCGAAAGTTACCTGCTTTTAGTCTTTAGAGGCGAGTAGCGGATTCATCAGCGATGGAGTCAACAGGTTGAGCAAAGAGAAGAAGTAGGCAGCGGAGATGGGAGGAAAAAACGTTGAAAGAATAAAGAAGCTTCTATCTCTGGAGCCGGGGAGTTGAAGGACAGTGTCGCAGAACGGAACCCATTGCTCCATGCTTCGTGGCTTCCTCCGTTTACACATTTTTTCTTCTTTTTTTTAAGAATTACGTTTTCAATTTTTTTACATCACTATTTCAGTGTCTGAACTGTGAAAATAGGAAGCGGATCAGATTAGTAACTCTATTGTCCGTAATTATGAGTAACGTGTCATGACATCACTATCCTCTTTCTCCTGGAAAGTCTTTTATTTTTTCCCCTTTAATTTTTAGTGGACGATTTCTCTCTCGTTTTAAGTCGAAATTTAATTTTTTTTTTGCACAGATAAATCAGATTAAATGTACTCTTTAAAATGATATCCACTTTTATATATTTTTAGTACAAAAAAAATTGAATAATTTTTTACCAGTCATTACCATATGGTATGCTCCAATTTAAATCATATGGTAAGAAGGTTGAATACATGATAGTAGGAGTAGGGGTGGCAGTTCAGTTACCGGTTACCAGTTAATCGACCGATTATCCACTAACCGGTAACCAAACTTCGGTCGATTATCGAAAGCTGGCCAAAATAGTTTTTGGTCTTAAAAGTGGTTCGGTTAACCGATAACCGAGGTAACCGAGAAACCGAAACCTATTTCGGTCGGTTTTCGGTAAGGGGGATGTTTATTTCGGTTAAACGATAACCGGCCAATCGGTTATAACCGAAATAACCGAACTGCCACCCCTAAGTAGGAGTATATTAATTGTCATTTACAACTTTCCTCATTGTTTACTACAAGTTACCACCCACATACCATAGTGGTAAAGTATGGTAATTTTTTATCCAGTATTTTTTTCACCCAGAAATTTATAGATCCAATAGATCATGATGAACTCGTTCCTTCTCAGCAAACGTTTTCAAAAACGACTTAAAAACGAAGAAGTTACCATATGGTATGTAGTTGCTAAAAAAAAAAGTTTCTCGAAATATATTGAAAATTGATCTCATTTTTTAGAGCACAACGAACTCGTTCCATCTGTGCAAAAAAATTTGAAATCCAAGTTGGAACGAAGAAGATAAGAACTGATTAAGAAAACTGGAGAAAATAAAATGCCTTTAATTGACACCCCTTATATCTGAATTTTCTGGACCCTAGTTACTCATAGGTTAGTAACCATTGATTACTGACCCTATCCTAAGCCGTGAAAACAATCGTCGATCCCGGTGTCGATACCGATCCCGACAAGGAACTTTTAGGTAATCGATACCCGCTCGCTCACCATCGCCTCTCTCATCCACGATCTATCCTTTCATACATCCGTTATTATCATTCCTTGCGGTGCCTCCGCTGCCCGTCGTTCGTCGTGCCTAGCGGCACCTCCACTGGCAGTGACAGTGATATTGGGATGTTTTACGTTTCTTATCGGCTCATAATGTAACCATGAGTCTCTTCTTCGGCTTAGAAAACGAAGAGGTTGGGTCGAAAGCTACAGTGGCGACAACGTCGGGAAACTCGTGAGTTTCTCCGTAGAGGGGTCAAAAAATTTGAGATGGGAAGGGAGTTGTTTGGTATAGTTTGAGGTTTGGAGAAGAAGACTGTGGCCGGTTGAAGGACGGGAGAGAATTGAAGTGGCAGGGACGTCGACGGTGACGGTGGAGAGGAATCGCTTCTACTTCTGTCGCTGACAGTTGAAATTAGCTGGAAATAAACACTTAAAGGAAAAGGACAGTTGTCGGTTTTGTATTGGGACCGCAACACGCTTTTACCAATTTCCTCCAACATGGCGGCACCGTACCACCCCCTCGTATCCCATGTAATCCATTCATTCAGTAGCGTAGCCAGACTTTGAGTTCATTGGGGATTTAAAATTTAATAGCCCTAAAGCTTGTGTATCTAATGAATTTTGAATTGATTGAATCCTTATGGCCTCAGAATTGATAAAAGATTATTAAAGCTTCAGTAACCCGTAAATGTGTCGTGCAAATTGATCTTATGAAAGTGTTTGACTCAGTTAATTGGGTTTCCTTGTTTATAGTGATGTTAGCTATAGGATTCCCTGTAAGTTATGTTGATCTGGTCAGGGTATGTGTCACAACTCCAATGTTTAGTGTGTCTTTCAATGATGGTCTTTGTGGCTATTTTGTTGTTAGTAAAGGGGATCCTTTACCTATTCACCAATGCCATGGAGGTTTTCTTGTCTAATGCACAAGGTTGCCATTGAAAACCAAATTCACTACCACTCGAGATGCAAACCTCTTGGGATAAAGCATCTCTCTTTTGCTGATGATTTATTGGTGTTCACCAATGGTTCTATAAGAGCAGTAGTTGGGCCAGGAGGTTGTTAGATGATTTTTATAAAATCTCGGGTCTTAGATGTAATTTAGATAAATGTTAGCTTTTCTGTGGTGGTATTTCTAATGAGGAGAAGGAATTTATACATGCACATACTGGTTTCCCTCTTGGCAATCTGCTTGTCGGATATCTAGGGGTACCCCTTATTTCTGGCAAGCTCACTAGGGTTGATTGTCCAGTGCTTGTTGATGAGATTACTGCACAGATTATGGTGTTGGCAAGAAAAAACACCGAGTTATGCAGAAAGAATACAACTTATTACTTATGTGGTCTCAAGTGTTTTGCAGTTATGGATGAAAATTTCCGTACTTACAACTTCTGCTTTAAAGGGTATTGAAGAGATTTGTAATAAATTGTTATAGAGGTGCGGGTTCTAGGACTCGAACTAAAGCTCTTGTTGTATGGAAGTGTGTGATAATGCTAAAGACATGAGAAGGTTAGGAGTTAGAGACATCAAGACTTGGAAAAAAGCATGTGTTGTGAGGCACATGTGGGATATACTTGTAAGGAGTATATCTCTTTGGATTCCTTAAGTAAAAAGATACATACTTAAAACTAAGTCTGTCTAGAATATTACTCCTACCTTGACTATTTCTTGGGTCTGGAACCGTATACTGAAGGCCAGAGTTGTATCTAGCAGGTTGATTTGGAGTGTGTGGTTCTAAGCAGTATTTGGAGGGAGAATTTGCAGCAGAATATACGAGGAAGGTCCTTTGCGTTCCCCGCCTTAATTAACAACTTATATTCGATCTATAGTGGAGTGTTTAGCAGCTTGCAGTATTTGAATACAAGGTTGAAATTAAAAGTTTATGTGATAATAGAGTGAGAGTGTTGTCAGTATACTCTATTTGTAAGCGATACATTACATTTAAGCCTCTTAGAGCTTAGTAGATTTTTTTGATTGCGCGTAGAAAAAATTCCAATATCAATTATCTCATTTGAGAAAAATATATTTTAATAGGTGGTTATTATATTTTTATAAATAATTGACGTATAATTTCTATGGTAAGTCAAATAAAGTTTGTGAGCAATAATTATCAATGAATTGAGTCTACCACGATTGATATTTATAAAAGATTAAAAAAGCAGTTGTTTTCATATATATATATATATATATATATATATATATATATATATATATAATGTACATTAGTGACACAATAAGGTGATTTTGTGATCAATAACTCACCCGCCACCACGGGGTTGTGTGTCGATGGGACGGGGCGGTTCGGGCTGGATCGCATTCGGCTGGGGGTGTGGTGCTTTTGTCCCCGGATCGTGCGGTTGTCTTGGCCCGGGGGGTTCAGTTCCCGTGCTTTGATGACCCCTTGATAGTAGAGCTGGTGACGCTTCGTGAGGCAGTGCTCTGGTGTCAGTCGCTTGGTTTTGCGGAGGTAGCCTTTGAAGGGGATGCGCATGTTATCATTGATAAAATTAATGAGGCGGATGCTCGTGATAGTCGTTTTGGAGCGGTGTTGGAGGAGCTAATTCAGGTTTTTGGCGATAATCCTGGTTTTAGTGTTAGATTTGTAGGTCGGCGTAGCAATAGGGTAGCCCATTTGGTGGCTAGAAAGGCCCTCTCTTTGTACCCGGCTATGAGTCGTTCTTTTGATTTCCGGACCTGGCTGTATTCCAGGATGTAACTGTCTTTTTTATCAATATATGATTATCTTTTGTCAAAAAAAAAAAAAAAAAAAAAAAAAAAAAACTCACCCGCCACCAATCCAAATTTCATAGGTTAAGAAAAACCCCACAATCATCTATCAAAGTCCAAACACATGGCATGAGTGATACTTGAGAGAACTCCAAATGAATTTAGTAGTTGAACCATCCATTTACTGATGTCCATCCCTAAATTAAACCAGTAAACCACAGTAGTAAAACTAAGTAAGAAGACAGGGGAAGTGGAACAAAGAAACACTACTGCCTTCCCTTTCATTTGATTTCCTTCTACTCATGGTTGTCACGCCGGCCGGCGTGCCACCGGTCATAAAATCGGCGTGACATCACCGGTATGATCGACATGATCGATATACGAATCTCTAAAGTAAAACGACCTTATTTTAGATAATTTAATTGATAAAAAATTATTTTATTATTTATTTTATGTGTATAAAAATTAAATATTGATGTTATTTGTTGGATTCAAGTATAAATATTTAGGTATTGACGTTAAATGTCATGTTTAAATATGAATATTTATAATTTTATTTGTAATATTGACCGACATGAACCGACACAAACCGGTATATACCACCGATTGAACCATTCCACTTGCTAAACCAACACACTAGTATAAACCGGTTTTACAACCTTACTTCTACTGCTGTACAAAATCTGTCCCTATAAAAGAACGCCTTTCAACTTTTCCCCCTTTTACCATCTTCTCCACCGTTAAATCCTCCACACCTCTAGTCTCTCTCTCTCTCACTCATCCTATGGCGCTATCCAACAACCTAACCGCAATCCTAAACCTGATAGCCTTCCTCTGCTCCGTCCCCATAATCGCGTCCGGAATCTGGCTCGCCGCCCAGCCGGACAACGAGTGCATCCACTTGATCCGGTGGCCGGTCGTCCTCCTCGGCCTCCTAGTCCTCGTCGTCTCCCTCACCGGATTCGTCGGCGCCTACTGGTACAAGGAGACGCTCCTCGCCTTCTACCTCTGCTGTATGGCCATCCTGATCGCGCTCCTCCTCATCCTCCTCGTCTTCGCCTTCGTCGTCACCCGCCCCGACGGCAGCTACGACGTCCCCGGCCGCGGGTACAGGGAGTTCCGGATCCAAGGGTTCTCGCCCTGGCTGCGGAATCACATCGTCAATTCAAAAAATTGGGGCGCAATTCGCGCTTGCCTCGCCGAGACCGACGTCTGCTCCAGATTGACGAGTAGGTACCTCTCGGCGGACCAGTTCTTCGCCGGCCACATCTCTCCCCTCCAGGTTAGTTCTATCTAAGCTAATTCGAATTAGATGAAAATCGAGTCGTGAATTGGATAGGGAGATTTGGGGGGAAAATCACGGTGGCGGTGTGAATGGAACTTTCCTGAAAGTGTGCGCGTCAGTGCGCAATTCGAGGAAGCCTTGAAAAATCAATCACCATTCTGGGGTTTCCTTTTTTTCTTACTGTAGTCAGTGATTTCTGGCGGTGACGAGATTTTTCTGGTCCTGCAGCTGGACTGCAGTAGGAAGGAAGGATCAGTAAATGTGCTTGGAAATTGGAATAGAATAGGACAGAGAAGGGGGGGGGGGGGGGGAGTGGGGCCAGTTTTAGTGGAATTTTCATTTTCGTTTGTCATCCCGATGTCGACTGAATAAGAAGGTACCATCGTCATAAGTTAGACAGACAGCCAAACATGGAGTGGACAACTATACCGAAACCGAATTGTCCCTTGAGTAGGGCTGTCAATTTGGTTTGGTTTGGTTAACCAAACCATTAAGTATGAAAAACCAAAAACCAAAAACCAAATCCCAAAAACCAAAACCAAAACCATTAAGGCCCTTATTGGTTTTTGGTTGCCAAAAACCAATAAGGGCCTTAATGGTTTTGGTTAACCAAAAAACCAACATGTACTCATACACTCATATTTATTCATATTTCCCTTCTTTTTATTGAATTAACGTCATAATAATGATAAATGGCCATTACAAGTTATTGGTTGGCTCAAAAGAAACCAAAAAAAAATTTGTTGATAAATAATTTCATTCTTATTGGTTTCTTAATGGTTTCTATTGGTTTTTCGGTTTTAACCAAACCAAAACCATTAAGTTGCTTATTGGTTTAAAACCAAAAAACTGAAACCATTAGCTTTTCAATTGGTTTGGTTTCGGTTAAAACCAAAAAACCAAAACCAAATGGACAGCCCTACCCTTGAGTTAAATATATTTCGATTTGATTTCGATCTTATAAGTTTTTTTTTTTTTTGATAGAAATCTGTAAAATTTTATTGATTTTGCATCTCCTTAGTCAAAGCATCTAGGAGAAAAACAGGGGGCCTTGTGTCCCAAATTTCCTGGGTCTCCCACCTACAAGGAATATGGGCCATGATATGGGCCAAAGCATTCTCATCCCTTTTAACAAAGTTCCATTTAATCTCTCCCACCCTCTGGGCCTCAGCCGGCAAATCACGAATTACCAGCCCGGCCTCCGTCCTCGCATTACCTTCCGTCTGCAACGCGTGTGCTACCCCTTGATAGTGTGAAGGGGGAAAAATACACTCAGATGAAATTTGAAAAAAAAATAATTTGAAATGAACAAGTCGGAGTAGATGAACCAAATTAAACATATTTTTAATTTGGTTCTAGTCTCAAGTTTTCTTTAATTTTTGTTAGATGATTTCGATATGATCTGATCTAGTTTTACATCGAATCGAAAGATGTACATTCGTAGTCACATATTTAAGGTTGTCTATGTTTGGCTCGGTTCTTATAAGTGCTTTTATACTTTAAAAACTAAAGTCGAGTTAAACACCTCTATAAGTTAGGATTTTGGAAAAGCGAAAACTGTTTTTTATAACATAAAAATTTATTTTGAAAGTACAAGATTATCCTGATCATTTTTAATTTTTTTTATAAAAAGATACATTTTCATTTATATATTCAAAATAAAATATATCACAATATAATATTAAATAATATAATAGAAATACAACAAATCCATTTTGACTACTTTTTAATTTTTTAAACTTTTACTCATTGTTTTATTCAAAATATTTTTGTCATTTTACATGAAATTTTATATTAAAAATTAGAAAGTATTTGACATATTTTTTTCATGCAAACACTGACTTTCTTTGAAAAGTGTAGTTTAAAAGCTGGGTTAATTGCATGGTTGGTCACTGAGATGATAAAAAGCGTTCAAGTTTGGTCACTAGAAATATTTGAATCCAATTTTGGACACTCAAATTAGTTAAATGGTTCAAGTTTGGTCACTCTCCGTTACCTTCCGGCAGTCTCCGTTAACACCGTCAATTATTTGCTGACGTGCTAACAGACTCACCTAGTCACCTATTTTTGACAAAAATAAAATCCAATCCTGCCACGTCATTAAAACTTGCCACATCATATCCATCGTTTTCCTTCCTCCTCCCTCGTTGTCCTTCCTTCATATATTAAATGAGAATCCAGATGATTGACCAGAACCGTTCACGAAACCGGTTAACTCTCCCTTTCCCCTTCTGGCCTTCTCCATTTCCCCACCTTATCATCTCTTCTCCCCAAATGAAACAACCGCCGCCACCGCCACCCATTTCCCCGCCGCAATGAACCACCGTCGGCCGCTTCACACCCTCCCCTTCCTCCTCCTCCTCCACCTCCTCCTCTTCCAACCAACCTCCGCCGTCGACTTCGTCTTCAACAGCTTCAACTCCACCAACTCCTCCTCCAGCCTCTTCCTCTACGGATCCGCCGCCGTCGAATCTCGAGTCCTCACCCTCACCAACTCCACCACTTTCACCATCGGCCGCGCTCTCTACCCGCAGAGAATCCACACCAAAACCCCCAATTCCTCCTATGTCAACCCCTTCTCCACCTCTTTCATCTTCGCCATGGCGCCGTACAGAGACGCCCTCCCGGGCCACGGATTGGTCTTCCTGTTCGTCCCCTTCGTCGGAATCGAGGGGGCTTCCTCTTCTCAGAACCTGGGCTTCCTCAATCGCACCATCGACAACGATCCTAACACTCGAATCTTCGCCGTCGAGTTCGACGTCTTCGCCAACCAGGAGTTCAGCGACATCAACGACAATCATGTGGGGATCGATCTCAATTCGCTCACCTCCAGATTCGCCAACGAGGCCGGCTACGGGCTGGATTCCGGCGCCGGATTCGAGACGCTGAGGGTAAACAGCAGCGAGAACTACCAGGTGTGGATCGACTACCAGGTGTGGATCGTTGGGTGCAGACCAGAGCCAGGGTCGGCGATGGTGGTGCTCGTGGCGTTGATGTTTTTGTTGAAGGAAGGAGAAGAGGGGAAACCGGCGGATTGGACAGGTCGGCGACAATAGCTTCTTCTGGTCGTCTTCTCCGGGTAAGGGATTTTGAGGATTGGTCAATTTTGGGTTTTAATTTGGGGTAGGTCAGATCATGGGTTAATGGGTTGGGTCATATTGGTCAGGTTTTTATGATGTGGCAAGTTTTAATGACATGGCAGGATTGGATTTTATTTTATTTTTGTCAAAAATAGGTGACTAGGTGAGTCTGTTAGTCACGTTAGCAAATAATTGACGGTGTTAACGGAGACTGACGGAAGATAACGGAGAGTGACCAAACTTGAACCATTTAACTCATTTGAGTGACCAAGATTGGATTTAAATATTTCTTGTGACCAAACATGAACACTTTTTATAATCTCAGTGACCAACCATGCAATTAACCCTTAAAAAACTTTGATAAAAATCAACTTTTCCAAAAGCTACACATGAGTGACATGACCAAACAAGTCTAATAAAATAGAGAAATTTCAATTTTCCCCCTTTTTTGATGAATAATAATTAATAAGTGGCCTGGGAATTAGTGGTCGTTAGCTCTATTGGATCACTCGTACAATCCATAGTAATTGCGCGCAGTAAACTTAAATGATAGAATTGACACAGTGTGTATTAAATGGTTGAAAATCATGGAAGGTATGATCCAACAACACTAGTTTAATAACCATCCTAATCTTTAAGATGATTGAACTCTTATACAACAAAATGTTCTAATACTAAATTAATAATTAATGTAGTTAATCCACTCGAATCGTTGAAAGAGAATGAAGTATAGACTATCCTCTTCCATTCAAGTAGAGCAAATTTCCGAACTTTGATTTTTGTCCGTCCCGTTTGTCTAAATTTTCAATCATAACTTATAAGTAGCATAATACTCTGTAATAAAGAGCCAACAAAAGGAGGCTAAGGCCATCTCCAATGCTAGTCCTCAAATTTGGGGACCTTCATCTCCAAATTTGGGAATTATCCCCATTTTAATAATTTTTGTTTCAATGCTACCATCTCCAAATTTGAGAATCTCCCTTTTTCTAGTTTTTATTTACTTAAAAATGTACTTTTGACCATCTTAATCTAATTTGTTCATATTTATTTTTGTATAGTTTGTCTTCATTTTTAAATGCAAAATTTTTTATAGATTTTTTAAAATTTCGAGACTAAATATTTTTTGGCAAAAAAATGATTGACCTATTTTTTCTTTACACGCAACGTTTCAAAATGATAAAGTTGAAAGAGTTAACATAATAGGTCAAATGGTACAACTCAAATGTTACCCACAATACTTGATATTGATAAAGTTTAAAGATTACACACAACACTTGAAAATGATAAAAGTTAAAGATTACACACAACACTTGAAATGATGAAGATGAAACACATAACATGTCAATAATCACCCATAAGATAATAGTAATTTCTGTAATCTCCTCCTCCGGTCTGACTTGCGTTGGATGAATAGTTGGGAACAAAGTAAGGATCATCTTGATCATATCTTAGAAGCACGTTTTGTTTATTTCTTCAATACTTCCTCTTTCTTAGTGTCATGACAGGTCCCTTTCAAGAAAACTAATGTTTTCCCGAAGTAGTGTCGCTTCTCTCTCTCTTTTCTCAAGTTTCCACTTTTCTTCTCTCCCTTTTCTCAAGATACTACTTTTCTTCATCGTGCTTCGATTTTTTTCCCTTGGAATTCCATCCTTTTTGCTTATAGTCAGCCCTCGAAGCGTGCCTCTCCTTCTACTCACTTCCATAATCCAGCAATGTAGCTCTCTGGTGACTCAGCAACCTCCATTCCTTTGTTCTTAGCCGCCTTTTGTTTGTCACGTCCAGCCGGGCGAGATATGACGAAGGGTGAATTTTCTTCGACAAAGGGTGGAGTTTCTTCGTCTCCTGCTATGTCATTGAGCTCTGTCAGTGGGGTTGATTGATAACCACGACCATGAGAGAATCATCAGAACCTTGACTCATGCGGCTTTATTGTGAAGCTTGACTCATGAGAGGAATGGAAGATGACATTGTTATCATGGTATCGAATATTTGACCTTTTTTCAATCCGCCAACAATGCTAAGAGTCCAACCTGGGCGAAAGTTTCATTTTTATACAGTTGTTTTGTGATATATTTCTATACGTATTAATGAATGTGTTGGAAAAGGAGTTAGAAAAAGAACACATACTAATGAATGAGTTAAAAATTAATAGTGATGGTGACCGAGAATTCATACCACATCTTGTTGATTCGTGCCACTTGGTTGATTCCTCTCTGCCTTTTTGATAGCTGAATTCCAACACTTGCACAATTTGTTAATGGTGTTCATTCAATTAACCATACTTTTGATAGTACGAGTTGTGTTTGGACGTTCACTCGAAATCGCATGTCCATTTTATCACAAAACTTTTATTGACGCCCACGGCTCCATCTTCTGATATCGTTACCCAAAAATTGCACAAGTTCTTATCTTCCTCCGCTTTCCAACCCTCTCCTCTCTTGCTTGTCACTGTTTGAATTTTAGAGAAAGAAAGATGATAGAAAGGATGGTGAGATTGACATCAAATCACTTCAGTAAGAATGAATTGTAGAGAGAGAGGAAATGATGTTTGAATATATAGAAAATTTTATGACTGTTAGATATGAACGTTCGGATATGACCGTTAAGTATGATCGTTAGATGTTACCGGTCAGATATGACCGTAAGGCTAGACCGTTATATATGACCGTTCAGATATGACTATTAGGTAGGACTGTTAGGTAAGGCTGTCAGGTAGCACATGTTAGGTATGACTGTTAGGTAGGACACTTTTGGATATGTTCGTCTATAAATACAAATCCCTCTTCTGTCATCAATTCAACACTTGTCTGAAACTTCTTCCCATTTCTAAAACAAACACATTCATCAACTTCTCCTAATTTCTAAAACAAAAACATCCATAATGAGTTCCTCAAATTTATCATCGTCTGGAGGAGAAAAAGAGATGAAAGAGTTGAATCTGTTTCATTATCACCATTTGGCTTTAATCGGACGGATGCTTGAGGAAGCTTCATCCTCACGTCGTCGTTCAACAAGTCGCCTTACATTGATCGTGAAAGGGTCCAAGTCATGATCGTCTTATGTAGGATTACTTCAATCCAAATCAATATATGATGCCCGCATATTCAGAAGGCATTTTCGTATGCAACCACGACTATTCAATCACATAATGGGTGACGTTCTGAGGTATGATCCCTCTTTTGCACGAAAGTGTGATGTTATTGGTCACTAAGGCCTATCGTCGGGACAAAAGCTTACTAATGCAGTGCTCATGCTAGCTTATGCCTTATGGATCTCTAGCTTATCAACTTGATAACTACGTGTGTATGGATCCGAGCACTGTACTGGAAGTCTTGAGGAAGTTTTACAGAGGCATTGTGGGGATGTACAAGCCGAGATGCCTTCATACACCAATCCCTGCTGATTTAAGGATCCTAGTTCGTAAAGCTTCACAACGCGGATTGTCTAGTATGATTGGATCAATTGATTGCATGCACCGAGAGTGGAGGAACTGCCCTACTTCTTGGACTAGGCAGTACCTGGGGCACAATCGTAAACCAACAATCATTCTTGAGGCAGTGAATTCATACAACACCTGGATATGGCATGCTTTCTTCGGCTGGCCTGGGTCGAACAACGACATCAATTTTTTGGGGATGTCTCCGGTGTTTGTTCGTATCTTCAACGGATCCACTCCACGAGTACGATTTGAGGTAAACGGTCATATCTATGATCAATTTTATTATTTGGCTGATGGTATGTTCGGGGTCAACTTTAGTGAAAACATTCAACAATCCAAGATCAAACAAAGCCTTGTATGCTCAATGCCAAGAAGCACATCGAAAAGACATAAAGCGGGCTTTTCACGATCGTGCGACTTGTTGAACGACGAAGTGAGAATGAAGCTTCATCAAGCCTCCGCCCGATTAAAGCCAAATGGTGATAGTGAAACAGATTCAACCTTCTATCTTTTATTCTCCTCTAAATGATAAGAAATATGAGGAACTCATGATGGATGTGTTTGTTTAAGAAATGGGTAGAAGTTGATGGATGTGTTTGTTTTATAAATGGGATGAAGTTTCAGACAGATATTGAATTGATGACAAATGAGGGATTTGTACTTATTGACGAACACATCCAAACGTGTCTTACGTAACACTCATACCTAATAGGCTTACCTAACATGTGCTACCTAATAGGCTTACCTAACAATCCTACCTAACGGTCATATTCGATAGGTAACATCTAACGGTCATAAAAGTTTCTATATATTCAATCTCACCATCCTTTCTATCATCTTTCTTTCTCTAAAAGCAAACAATGACAAGCAAGAGAGGAGAGGATTGGAAAGCGGAGGAAGATAAGAACTTGTGCAATTCATGGGTCACGATATCAGAAGATGGAAATGTTGGCGTCAATCGAAGACAATCAAAGTTTTGGGATAGAGTGGACATGCAATTTCGAGTGAACGATCCAAACACAACTTGTACTATCAAAACCATGGTTAATCGAATGAGCACCATCAGCAAACTGTGCAAGTTTTGGAATTAAGATATCCAAAGGGCGGAGAGGAATCAACCAAGTGGCACGAATCAACAAGATGTGGTATGAATTTTCTGTCACCATCACTGTTATTTTATAACTCATTCATTAGTAGTGTGTTCTATTTTCTAACTCATTTTCCAACTAATTTATTAATACGTATAAGAGTATATGGCAGAACAGTTGTATAAAAGTGAGACTTGCGCCCAGGGTTGAACTCTTAGTCATTGTTGGCGGATCTTGAAAAAATGTTAAAAATTTCACCATGATAACAATGTCGTCTCCCATTCCTCCCATGAGTTAAAGCTTCACAGCAAAGTCGCACGAGTCAAGGTTCTGATGGTTCTCCCATGGGTCGTGATTATTAATCAACCCCACTAACAGACCTCAATGACCAGGAGATGAAGAAACTCCACCCTTCGTCATATCTCGCTCTGCTGGACGCAACAAACAGAAGGCGGCTAAGAAGAAAGGAAAGGGGGTTGTTGATTCATTAGAGAGCTACATTGCTCAATTGTTGGACTATGGAAGTGAGTTGAAGGAGCGGCATGCTTTGAGTGCTGAGTATGAGCGAAAAAAGATTCCAACAAAAGAAAAACTGAAGTGCGATGAGGAAAAGTGGGATCTTGAGAAAAGGGAGAGGGAAGAAAAGTGGGAACTTGAGAAAAGATAGAGGGAAGCGACATTACTTCGGGAAAACATGGATCTTCTTGAAAGGGGCTTGTCGAAGTTGATAAAAAAAAAGAGGAAGTATTGGAGAAATAAACAAAACGTGCTTCTAGGGTATGATCAAGATGATCTCAACTATGTTCCCAACTATTCATCCAACGCAAGTTAGACCGGAGGAGGAGATTAAGGGTATTACTATTATCTTATGGACGATTATTGACATGTTATGTGTTTCATCTTTATCATTTCAAGTGTTGTGTACGTTTGGTAAGCACGTCATGTAGAATTCATGTATTTGAAGAACTCATGTATATTGAAGGTTGAGTTGCGAGAACTTGTGTAATATAAAAATGCATTGTTTGGCTTGCATGAGTTCAAAGTAGAACTCACATAATTTGGCATTAAATTTCAAATACTTTGGGTAAACCCAAAGCATTTGAGATATCATGGTCACATGAATTCTAGAATAACACGGTGCACCAATATCATGATATCTGCCCAAAAATAAAACAAGGAAAACAGTGAAATCTCAAATATCATGTAATCTTGAAATCTGTGGGTAGATTACATGCTTTACCATTTTCAAGTGTTGTGTGTAATATTTAAACTTTATCATTATCAAGTTATGTGCAACCTTTGAGTTGTATCATTTGAACTATTATGTGAACTCCTTTAGTTTTATCATTTTCAAGTGTTGTGTGTAAAGAAAATTAGGTCAATCATTTTTTGTCAAAAAAAAAATCAATATCGGAAGTTAAAAAATTTCTATTGAAAAATTTGAATTTAAAAATGACGACGAACTATACAAAAATTAACATAAATAAATTAGATAAAAATGATCATAAGCATATTCTTAAGTAAAGAAAAACTAGACAAGGGGAGCTCCAATAGCCTTCGACATTACATTAATTCCTCGCGTTAGAGCTGGCAATTCATCATTAATGTGTCACCTTCCCAAGGGAAATAGAATGGATTGGCAACTAGCACTTTTTCACAATCCACCGCCTGGAAAATCATGGAAACTTCAGATGCTCAGGCCTCAGACTAAACTAAAAAGTGAATTGTCGTCGTATTATATTAGTAGCATAGAACGGGCTTAATAATACGACAGACAATTACAGGAAAAGAAAAACAAACTCTTCTTTTTCTCCTACTCATTGTTTTTTACTGAAATACTATATATGTCTGCATGCGTGTGCTTTGCGGCGAGTGAAAGATAACGTTGTAAATATGTCGTATGAATTTTCTCCTACTCTTTGTTTTTTATTGAAATACTATATATGTTTGCATGCTTGTGCTTTGCGGCGAGTGAAAGATAGCATTGTAAATATGTCGTATGAAAGAGTTAATAAAATTTAACTCATACGAAATAACTTTAAGAACGACAAGAAAAAACATTAAAATGTTGTGGGTGAGGTTTGTAATAATTTGCTATCGCTGACGAGTGAAGTTATGAATTAGAAAAGGACGATCTATCATATTTGGAGCTAAAAAATTATTAAATTTATGGAGTTCATGCATTTAAAATAGAAAAGAACAAAGTGAAAAAATGACGGACGAATGTAGCATCTGGTTCTATTGCATGGAGAACGAGAAAGAGATGACTAAAAATGTCAGCACCAAAAATCCAAAAAACAAAAATACACATATTAGACGATGTGAAATTAGGAATAAAATGAAGTAGGAATGAAAAATAAATTGATTAAACATAAAAGTAAAAGGATATAAATAAAAGGTCACATAACCATATAACAAATGACCTTGAAGTTAGAGTTATTTACAAAAGGTCATCTTAAGTCTTAACTATCCACATAAATGCAATTGTAAAAACAATTGCATTTGTGCTCTTTTTTGCCACCTTTTTTTCCCCAGTTCTACTCATATTACTTTCATTTACCTATATCAATGCAATTAACCAACAATTACATATGTGAGTACAACTTAATTTTTAATAAAATAAAAGATTTTCATTTTTATTATTTTATTCATACATGAAATAAATAAATCCATGAATGCCTACGTAGAGTTGCAAGAAATCAATGCAATTGGATTGCTGCGATTGAGATTTTCATCAATGCAATTGGATTTCTATTGTCCATGTCATAATGCAATTGAATATGATAGTGTTGGAAGAAAACGTGTTATTAACAAGACAAAGGTCTTATGCTATGTATGGTAGAGAAACTTACCTTTTAAGCAAAGCTTTCCGGGCGCATCTTCTCGGTGATCGAGGAAAGCAAGCAAATGGCAAGTAAACTAGAAGAAGGATCTTCCTGTACGTAGCTGGCGGATTCAAATCAAAAGGTACTTACCATTTATGAGGAAGATTTGGAATCAACTCAGCATGGAAAGAATGCTCACTGTGCAACGGTCAGATTCTGCAAGTCTATAAAAGGGGCTTCTTGGTAGATAGGTTGGGCACCTTTTCCGGGAGATCAAAATACTAGAGAGCGGGATTTGCTAAGAGTGTTTTGGTAGGAAAGGGGTTCAAGCATACGAGGAGTTGCTTAGTTCAAGCATCGGTTAGAAATCTTGGGTTACGTGTTGGGATACACGGGTTTCGATTGACGAGGAGTTAATCGAGGTGACGGTATTGGGAAATACCGGGTTGTTCATTTGTAAACGGAAGAGCGTCAAAGACATATCCTTAGTAGATCGTCGGAGATCACAAAGTCGTGAATCTCCGACCGTGGACTAGTCAGTGTTGAGATTCTATTTCTCTCAACACTGGAAACCACGTAAAAATTGCTTGTGTTTTTATTTCTGCAATTTTTCTGTTCTGCATATTTGGTTAACTGTTCTTCATTTGTTCTTGATCCAAAGTTCCAAAGGATAGCTTTGATCGAAAACCATTAAAGCAACTCTGCTTTTTGGTGTTTAAGTAAACGTCTGCGTTGTAGTCATAGTTGGAGGTCTTTGGATTAAAGTGAAGTGAGCTGGGAAATAAGGTTGCAACGTGTTTTCTGTGGGCCAAATAGAAAAACGAGTTTCAATTAAATATTTGGGCTTGACTTCTGGCCCAAAACTTCCTTAATCCTACACGTTTTAGAAAAACAAAATTGAAAGTACATTGAGAACACTTTTCAGATCAAAACTTCTTCTTCCCATCGTTATTAAAGTTTTCCTTCGTATTAACATAGAAAACGTTGAATAGAAAGAAAACTGCAGGTGCAATTTACAGTCAATCGAAGAGAAGGCGTGCGCCACCGGGACCAACAGATAGTTTGATGTGGATGCATATAATGAATATCGAAACTTTTATATAAGAATTGCTGCCTCATTATATCGAAACTTTTATATAAGAATTGTTGCCTTCCTATATTTGCAACATGCAGTCGGGTTGCTGCAAGCCACCAACGGCATGCGGGTACAGCTACGTGAACCCGACCCTGTGGGAGAATCCGGCGAACCCGACGGCCGACCCGGACTGCTACAACTGGAGCAACGACCAGAACCAGCTGTGCTACAACTGCAGCTCCTGCCGCGCCGGGCTGCTGGGCAACCTGAGGAAAGAGTGGAGGAAAGCCAACACCTTCCTCATCATCGCCGCCGTTGTGCTCATCTTCGTCTACGTGGTTGGCTGCTGCGCTTTCAAGAACGCCCAGACTGAAGACCTCTTCGCCCGTTACAAGCAAGGCTGGGCCTGAACTTTTAGCTAGGGTTTTGCCCAAAACTTCAGTAGTGTATTTGTAAGGTAATGTGTAATTCCATTTCCCACTAGCAATGTTTTTTAGGCTTCTTGCAATACAAGATTCCTGCTTGCTCTATGCAGTAAATCATGGTGTGACTGAGACTGACTGATGCTTGCAGTTTGAGAACTCTAGAACCAATAAGCTCAATGGACAAGCACTCACAAACAAAATAACCCTTCAACTCTGAGAAATGAAAGCAGGTCTGCAGAGAGTAGATACATTCATACCATGAAAACACAAGTGACCAGCTTGAGGAACTGATGAACCTAGCTAGCTAGTTAAGCCATCCATTATAATTAATTACTCTTCAGGAACTTGCAAGTAATCCGGAAAATGCTGCCCCGTCTAAGCTTCTATCGAGGCCTTTCTCGAGAAGACAATGTACATTGGATCTGATCGTCCGGGGTTAGGAGATATATCCACAGCCTGCAACCCCAATCCCCATACACATATTAGTGAAGAGTATATAGAAGAAAACCAAGCCTGTGAATTGTGACCATATCCTCCCTAGCCCAGTAGCCCTGGCCTTTCAAGGACACAAAACAAAGCAAAGCAAACAACACAATCACCTGAGGCGGTTCGAATCCTCCAGCATAATGGAAGTATGACCCAACAATCATAACATGGTCAGCATCCCCGGTTGATGTCCATATTGAGATTGCTTTCGTGAAAAAGCAGCGGTTAGAAAAGCTGGAAAACGCGAAAAATGGTTGGCCTAAGAGACCGGTAAACAGAGCAGAAGGGGTGTTCAGATGAAGCTAGCAAGACAAAATGACATTGCCATCGGTTATTTCTATGAGCATGAACATGGTATGTGAGCGTGAAATAGGTTTCTGGTGCTTGCTGCTACAGCTGACATAAAGAAGCTAAGGAAGAGCTTGAAGCTGTAAGTATACACCAATTCCCATCCAGAGAAAAAGAACTTGCCTCATTATGGCTAGACCCCCTGGCTTCAATATGCGGCTCATCTCCTTGAATACATCGAGTGGTTTGGTCAGGTAATCCACACTGACCTGTTTGTCAAACGTGTACCCCATTAACAATAATATTATTCAGTTCTCTCGGCTCAAGGAATTAAGCAGTAGTTCAAATATGCAAAGAAATAGAGTTGACATACCACATTAGTTATGACGTCAAAGGAATTGTCATCAAATGGAAGTTTCGGTTCCACATTCAAGTCTTGCACAATGTACTCTGTCAGAATCTAACAAGGATTGAAGAAGAAAACCACGACCAGTAAGTGTTTGGAGGCCTTTGACATAAATAGAGAAAACTAATCAAACACTTGAAAGAGAAAGTAAGTTCTACAGGATTCCGCTTGAGCTCTTCTTCATTCATTCCCATCCCAACTATACGATCTTGCTTGTATCCTTTGGGGTAATGGCTGACCTAAACACAAAATTATGACAAAGATTCTGTTAAAGCATGCAGAACAGATAACTCAGAATGTGGGATGTTACAGGCAGGAGAGTTTCTTACCCAACTGCTACACATGTCCAGGATGCTTACACCCGGAGTATTGCTAGGAGGGAGAACCTCCGAGTAATACTTTGTTAGTGCAGCAATGGCCGGGTCATCGATATGTGTAACAAACCGTGGGGCATCATAGAACACCGAATCTGATGACCTGAGTGCGGGAGTTTTGGAGTTTAGACATCAGCTTCTTGAAATCAGATGACTAAACCAAAGGAAAGCTGATAGGAGTTACACTTTGCATTGCTGCATAGGAGATGAGAACTCAAGGGACCAAAGCAAACGAAGATTCCAGATAAGCATACAACGAAATGCAACAGAACCAGCATACTGTCAACTAGTTGAAACTTGCAACTGAAGACAGAAAGTGTAGCTTTTGGAGGGCTTACTCATCAAATCTCTGAAAATCTTCCTCCTTGAATGGGAATTGTTCCGGCCAATCAACATTCTTCAAAACCTATTTAGATAAGTGGTAGAAAGGATCAAACACCAAGAGCATGTCAAAAGTAGTGCATAGTTCATAGCAGAAATGCACCTGAGCCCTTTGGGTAGTCCAAACCCTCAACCCAACCCTGGAAATATCTCCCAAGTCACCCCATCAAGTCAATTACACCGACTCTCCATACAGCTACCTGATATCCCAACTATAAATTACCTTGATTTGAACACTCATTAATGAGTCTAATCCTAACTACCCAGATGGTAAAATTTCGGAAACTCGGACTCCCATTCATTAGTTTATCCCAATCAATGAAGCAGTTCGGGAATTACAAGTGTTCAGAACAAAAAGCGCCAAACTTTAGCAAGTAAACGAGCAAAGCAAAGCAGAGGAGATGAAAAGTTTACTTCTTCGACGGCACCCTTCTGCCTCGCGGAGGCAACGAAACGCTTGCCGCCAAATTCACCAGCCATGCCCACAAACAGCGACAGGAACGAAGCACCTCCCACCCCTATCACCAGCCTCCGTCGTGCAGTAGCAAATCTACTGCCGTTAAACTTCGCCTGCGCTTTCGCAAACCCACCACAAGCACAAGCACCAGCGGGAACCCAAAAGCTGGGACGAGTGCTAGAAGTGCGATGAACCGCAACAGCTAGAATCGGTGTCTTTGGATTATGTAGAAGTCCAAAGCGAAATGCCATTTTTGGGTTTAAAAAATGGGGAAAGTTCGTTATAGTAATATTTACTCTTGTTAAGTTTTAGAACGTTGCTGTTGCAGACGTAGCAGCTGCAGATTGGATTTGGTTCATTCATGGAGGATGGATTGGGAATTATGGATGGTCAGTGCCTCGCCACCGTGCTTCGTTTTCCATCTCCTGATGCTGTCGGAATGTTAGGTGGGCTGTTCCAGTGAATTTTGGGCTCCCTACGTGGGCTCGCTTCACGACGCCAAGGTTGTCAATAATACCGCCTTAGCTTGGAAAAGAAAATTTCAATGGCCCGAAGATGAAAGGTGACCATCCATATTTCTCCTTCTTGTGAGAGTGAGACTGCTGATAAGTAGAGTCCCTAATTGGCCCTTAGTAGCACCTAACAATAAATTTGAACATATATACCATTCTCGTAAAGAAATTCAGAGTCCGAGAATCTTTAAAACCCAACAGTCAACAAGTGCTACTAAAATCCGTTACCAGCGCTGCAGTTCCCAGCAAACATACAGCAGCCACATTTCTGTTTGTTTTGTTAGTCCTAGGTAAGACAAGCATTTTTGTTTCTTTCTCTGCAACTTGAAGCACATTCAACTTACACGTAAACTACTACAAGACCCTTACGAGAATGTCAGCATTTTACACAAAGAAGTTTTTTCCCCCTGCTTGTACTTAAACTCAGCAAAGTCTGGTATCAAACTTGAGGCTGATCCCCATGCTGAAGAGCTCCTGGGACAACAGCTTAGCTCCATAGGGGATATTCACCTTGACAATGTCGTCGACGGATTCACAGACACGGCAGTAAGGGCCCCTGACCTTGCGCCCACCGGGGACAGATCGCTGAATCACATTGGCGATGTTCTTGCAGTTCTGGCAGATGTGCAGCTGGGAGGAATCGCTGAGCGTGTAGAGCCGCTCGTAGAGGTTTGCTGATGCACCGTGGGCTATCAGGCAGTCACGCTCCATCTCGCCGAACTTGATCCCACCAAAGCGTTTGCGATCTGCAACCGGCTGCCTGGTGAGCGGGTGAACAGGCCCCGTGTTTCGGAACTTGACCTTGTCTTCAGCCATGTGGATCAGCCGCTGGTAGAAGGTCGGGCCCATGAACACCAGCGAATCGACCATTTCTCCGGTTCGACCGTTGTATAGCCTCTCGTTTCCCCATCTAGAAAATCCAGCCCTGTTTTTGCAAGAAGATATGACAATCGCTGCTCTCAGTCAATTAAAACTGTAAATGTGAGCAAGCACAAAGCAAACATGGACAATTTCTCAATCAAATACGCTGGTCCGACGTCTAACATTCACCTCTGTAATCGAATCTAACACTGATGCAGACTCCACTTTACTATTGTCTCTTCTATACTTACAGTTCTAGCCTTGTAATAAAACTCCAAAAGCTTGTGTGGTCATTTAGTCAATTCACACATAATTCATCTATTCTAAGTCAACAAGTTGCAGGACCACCCAATCATTCCACGACCATTTACGTATTGAATCAAATGGAACAGGGTCTACAACAAGAATGCATAAAACCAGAACTTAAGTTTGAGGAAGTAATTAGTATTTGTCACCTGTGTAGCTGGTCTGTGATGGACTCAACCGAGACAGTGGAGAAAGGAGTTGCATATCTCATTGTACCACCGGAAGCAATCCCTTTCGCCAGAGCAGCCTCCAAGAGTTGGCCAGGAGTTTGACGTGAAGGAAATGCATGTGGATTTATGACCACATCGGGCACTATTCCTTGTATTGTGAAGGGGAAGTTCTCCTGAGACTCTATGAAGCCTAGAACACCCTTCTGCCCGTGCATGCTTGAAAACTTGTCTCCTAGTGTTGGAGACCGGACCTGCAGAAAGTCGGGATACATAGAAAGTGAATCAGCAGGAAAGGACAGCCATACAAATAAGCAAGAGAATCCATCAAAGATTGTTCTCACTGTAACAAAACCTCTAATGCTTCATGCAGGCAGCGAACATTCTCACAAATACTTTGAAATAATATCCTCTAGACAGTTATGGTTTACCTGTCTCAATGATACCACAGCAAAGTTCTTTCCCTCGTCATTAGCAGACAAAACCACCTTCTGGACCTTGCCTCTTTCAGTGTGCTTCAATTTGATACTGTAATCAGCTCCAGACTCACCGCATTTCCCCACAACAATATCCCCACTCTGTAGATCTGCTCCAATTGAGGGGAAACCATCATCATCGAGACTATCAACTCGACCAATCTTGCTCTGTATCTTCCCAAAATGAACAGGGTCATCAGACTTTCTTCTTTTTTCCTCCTTGTTATCAACCTCAGCCTTGTAACTCCTGATGTGCTCGGTTCGGAACAGCCCACGCTGCAGAGAAGCCTGGTTCATCACCAAGGAATCCTCTTGATTGTACCCCAGATGAACATTTACTGCCACTATACAGTTCTGGCCATTGAAAAACTCGGGCCTGGGAAGAATTCCATTGTGGCCAAGTGGATACCATGGTTTCCCTAGACAGTCAGAAGTGGTGGTTCTGAAAAGAGGCCTTTGAGGGTAAAACAGCTTATGAGAAAGTGTATCAACTCTGATGTTGGGGTTTGTAGTCGAGAAACCAATAGCTTGTTGGCAATGTTTTTGCGACTGATAAAGAACTCGCCTTGCATGGTCGTGATTTGCAAAAGGGACGATTCCGCAACTCAAACCCAACAGGAATGACATGTCGAGTTCACAGTGTGTGTACTTCACATCATGCTTCCCATCACAGGACCTTAAGAGATTTTTTATGCTCCAAGCTGTAGAGCAATCCTCTTCCTCTTCAGTCCCAATGAACTCAATGACGCCATCGTCCAAAAGGGATTGGAACGTGTACGTCTCCCCTTTCGAAGATCTTATCTTTGCTAAGTTCTCAACAACAATTAGAGGACGCAGAATCCTTCCAGCATCGGAAAAGATACGCACTTCTTTCTGCTGCTCATCCCTTTTAATTTCCACCTACAAGGAAAAAAGCATGGGATAAAATTGATTGCCTGGCAGAAATCTGAAAAGGATTATAAGAATGATTTAAAAAGTACCTGGTGTGGCAGCCTTCCTTTCCGACGCATGCGCCTTAACTTTCTCACTAGCAAATGAGGAGTTCCACTAACTCCTACCCATTCCCCATTCAGAAACACTTTTTCATTTCCATCCAGTCTAGTATAAGTACCTTCAGCAAGTCTATCCATCCCAAAGTTAGTTAACTTGTCAATTAGAGGAGTTGTTATGGTTGTGCTGACAACACCTGTGATGGATAGATTCTTTACAAGACCACAGTTTTCACCATCAGGAGTGGAGAGAAAGCATACTCTACCCCAGTGAGAAGGGTGCCTGCATCCAAATAATTTGATATTAAATCCACAGGTTACCAATTGTCACACAGACCTTAGTCCAAGTCTATATGTATTCTTCACTGCTCACATTCTACTGTAAGATGCTTAGAAGTAGAAAGCAAGAAACCAGGACTTAGCATCAAACCAAACTGATAGGTAAAGAAAATGCATGGATAAACTAATTATATCACTAACCATGCCTGATTTCTCAGCATCAAAGCATGATTTGGACAAAAACTAAGTTCACTATCTGCTAGTCAATGACTCATATCTAACTTAGCATTTACTGTTAAGTACAAACTATGGAGCGAAAATAAGGGAATCAATCCAACTACCGACAAGAGTATCAAGGAACTGGATAATCTACAATGAATGTCCATTAAACCTTTCCATTCTTCAAATGCGAAATATATAACAAGAAATCTAACACACATTTGCCAAACTGCAAACCGACTCCCAAGTGACAGCCTAGATATTCTAGCTCTTTCAGATATAGGCCAGTAAAAGTGCATCAAATAACAAATCAAACAATTGATGTAAGAGATGAAGACACCAATTGGCAGGCAGTTGTAGTCCTGCTTTCGGTGTAATCATGCAAGCCTTAAAGTGGATCAAATAACGAATCAAACAATTGATGCTTCAGTTTTTGGCTGCTCAACAATAAGCTCAGTAGGACACATGAAAAAAGTTAGCACTAGGTTTTCAGAGACTTACGGGTATCTAGCATCTCCAACTTTCCCAGTGTACAAGACCTGCTGGCGAGTCCTTCGCAAATCAATCATCGTTTGCAATGGATTTGTGCGGCCAAGGTTCGCCACAACACCTGAAACTCTCTCCATTTTCTTCCAAGGATGGCACCATGCTCCAGTGGAGAATGCTCTTGACAAACCATTGGTTATAACAGAAGGATCCAGGTAAAAAGCAACTGGTTGGACAGGTCGACCATCATCAAGGGACTTCTGCAGGGTCTTCTTCATACGTTTCTGAGCATTTGATATGTGAGCTTTCAACTCTCTCTCAAGCAACTCCCCTGCCAACTCAATCCTTTTGTTTCTGAAACTATCCCTATTATCCGATTTCCTCTGACCAGTAGAGGCCAGTAAAAGGCACTTCACCATATACCCTAGAAATTGAGCCTTTTGGGTAGGATGTTGCAGATTTGGAAAAAGATACATGCTGATACATTCCTCCATGCGCTCAGTAGGTGGGAATTGGGTCTTGTGTATACTTTCATCAACATATTCCAGTGCTTTTCTCCCCCTGCGGAACCCCTCAAATTTCTCGGCTTCCTGAATTGAGGCAAAAAGTATATTGACAACGTTTGGGTCATTGTTGTCATAATCTATCAGATCCACAACTTCTTTGTCAGATCTGACACCGAGGGCAAAGAACAAGACCCACAAGGGCACTTCAGTTGACAAGAAATACACCATAAGAACTTTCTTTTCTCCTTTGATTTCCTCACCTCTACTGAGACCAGCTATTCTAACAATCAGCCTGTGCCTCTTAACCTCTGATTTGTATGCAACGGTCCATGTGGGACTACTCACAAGCCAAAGCCTCTTCATGCATATTTGCTCTTGAGCAATGAAAACCTGCAATGCGGAGAAATGTATAAAAACATTAGTAGAATGAACAGAAAGAATGACCACACAACTTTACAGATTGGTAGCTTAAAAGAAAAACAGACCAACTAGAAAAGGAAACATAAACTCACCTTCTCAGCACCCTTTATCACAAAGTAGCCTCCCTGATCGAAATCACAATCAAGTTTTTCTTCTGTCTTCATCCAGCACAGATCAGACTTCACCATCACAGGAAGACTCCCTATTACAATCTCTTCAGTTTCATTGTTTTGTATCACTTTCTCAAGGATTTTGTCCTTCCCCGTCTTGAACTTGTCACTTCCAATAAGCTTTGGCGTGTACACCTGATTTAATTGCAAAGTACAATAAATACATGTTAGAAATTTCCAAGATAGGCAGGGAAATGGTCTGCAATCAAGGTATTCTCAGTAATTAGATGTGATTTTCTTTTCTAGAGTTTGCATCAAGGGGAGAAATGATACCGTCAAATGGATACCACATAACAGAGGACAAGGCAATACAAGAACAAAATAATTTTGCCTCTTTCTCTCTCTCTCTCTCTAGACGCTCATTCCATTCAGGAAGCTACTAACTCAAAGTGACTAGCAGAACCATATTTAAACCTATTTAGCATATAATGCTGCTCTTGATTGGAACAATTAATCATTTCCCAAATCTGTCAAACACCAATCCTACAACCAGAAGATATAAACTTGTGGGCTTCACTAAACAAAAGCAAAATCCAACTTCAAATTTGATGAAATTGAAGCTTAGGAAAGCTATGTTCATGCAGCAAATTCCTCCACAAACCAGCAGCACATTGGCCTCTTTCTAAGACCTAAATTGACTGCAGGAAAAAAAGTGACAAACTAGCAGCCAAAATTTAAAAAAGGTCTGCACTTGTAAATCAATAGCAACAAACAGCAGTTGAACAGAAATCAGAAGTTCCACTTACCTGGAAAGTGACTTCCACTTTGATCCTTGCAGCATAGGTCATGTTCTGTAGGCGTGCATCTCTAGGGAGGAGCTTGCGCTCCATCTTCTCTGAATCCGATTCAGCCCAAAAGGTCGGCTTTTCAACGGTAACCTTTCCGAACTTCACCGAAGCATGCCTCCACTCACCATCTCCCCTCTTGGAAGGGTCATATCCCGGCTCAATCAGAATCTCACCAAAGGAATCAAAAACCCGTTGCAGACCATTGCTGATGAAGTCATTGTACGAGTTGATTTGGTGACTGATGAGACCGTACTCATTGAAAAACTGGGTTGCTGCCTTCCTACAGAAGTTCGTCAAGTTCACTTCCCCTATCTCCTTTAACTTCTGCATGTTCTCCCCTCCATTATTATCATCATCATCGTCGTCGTCGTCGTCGTCAAATAGATCATCAATATCAAACCGCTCAAACCTCTCAGGAGCCTTCTCATTTCTACTGCTTGTCCCCACATCTTCTTCCATGAAATCTGGTGAGTCCATACTTTTACTGAAAAGTGGAAAGGAAAAATCAGGGGAACTTCAACAGAAACCCATTTAAAGCATGTATTTCGTTGAAATGATTATGGGTAACAACACATGCAAACGATCGAAACAGCTGAAAGGAAACAGAAACCCTATGAACAAACAAATGTCATGCCGTTGTTTCAACTTCGGAGGCGAAAATCATACCTAGCAGCCCAAACACGTCAGAGTCACGATTTTCCTAACACGACAGGAGGAAGAAGCTAACAAGACATGCAAACCCGATCAAAAACAGCTGAAAGAAAACAGAAATCCTATAAACAAACAAATGCAGTTTCTTGGCTTCAATTCCGGAGAAGGAAACCCTACCCAGTAACTCATATACGCTAAAGTTGCGATTTTGCTAACAAGAGAGGCGAAAGAAGGCAGGGAACTCACCTGGGTCAGTCAGTCAGTCACTAGTCACTAAACCCTAAACCTTTGGAGCCTTTTTCTGACTCGTTAGATCCCTTTAGAGAGTCTCCGGAGGGGGGAAATCCTCGAGCCCGACGGCTGGCTTCACAATGCAAGACTGATTCTGCGTGTGATGCTACTACAGTCTTCGCGCAGGCTTTGGACCGAGGAAGATCTCTAAAGAAAGGCACTGATGGAGTGACAGTGATAATACTGTAATTTCCGGCAGAAAATGAGTTTTACTTCAGCAAAAAACTGATAAACAAATGGCACTGGTATTGTCAGGCTTAGGAGTACGGATGGTAACAAAATCCGAACCCACGGGTATTCTATCCGATTCAATCCGGTCAATGCGGGCAAAGCTTATGTTAACGAGTTTTGGATCGAGTTTGAGTTTAAACTCGTTACACTTTTATTGAGTTGGGTTGAGTTTGGGTTTAGAGATACCCGACCTATGGATACACGTCCATAAACCCGCATATACATAAAGCTGGTGTAGCCCCATCTTTGCCAAATTTAGGGAGGTCACCCCGACACTCTGTTATGGCGACGGCCGCCGGAGCCTCCGACCCAGTTGTTACAAACATCGGCTGCAGCAGCCACCGGCGTCCGGTTGAGAGGATGATCACTAGAGGAAGCAGTAGCCTTGTCGATGTAGAATTTCAGTTCGAGCAGAGTTGCTGCATTTGTAGCTATTCAGCGAAATTATCATTGATCAATTACGAAGTGGAAGAAATTACATGTCAAGTAGATATTCAGCGAAATTACACGTCTTAAACAAGCTTTAAATCGTAGAAAAAACATATTCACATTTTCCCCTGCAATGATCCGTTTGTAGCTACATGTTAATGTTCTTATTGCCGACGGCTTGGTACGAGCCGGGAATTGCAACCGCCGACGACGATCCAAACGCTTCGGGATCCTGCACAGCTCCACCGCCGATGGCCGCCACCAGGTCGTCGGTCTCCCTCAACGCTCCATGGGCAACGATCAAAGCAATCCCGGAGAACAACCCCACGACCATGTCCTTCGCCACCTCCGTAAACAAAAGCACCAGAATCGTGCCGGCGAGCAGCCACGACACCACCGTCTTCTGGCCGACGACCTGCCCATTAACCACCAAGGGTTCCTCGCCGCTCCGGAGGACATAGAGGAACAGCCACGCCGCGGCGACGGCGAGGCAGAGGATGAAGGAGACAGGGTGCCAGAGCAAGGAGAGGAACAGGGCAGATGCGGCGAGGATGGCGTAATTGCTGCGGAAGAAGGCGACGTTGGCGTTGATTCTGTCGATGGATTGGTTTAATGTGGCTGGGAGTGTGAGGGATTGGGGTTGGATCATGAGCTTCCATGGCCTGGCGGTGGCGATGAGGTTCTCGACGGTGGGTCTAATATTTTGAGCCCAGATGGGTGGGATCGTTGACGAAGGAAACGGCGACGACGGCGGCTGCTGTGATTGCGACGAAGATGGAATTGTTCCGTATCTCGTCATTTCTCCCGATCTCTACACCGGAGAGATAGAGAGAAAATGATGCACTCAACGTGTTTGATGATTTGTCCAGCCGAGGAAAAATGAAATGAGACAGGGGAGGGAGGAGAAGAAGATTGCACAAGCAACCAACTTCAATTGGCGTCCTTGACTTTCGCTAGAGTCGCTGCTATCGATATTTAGTATTTATTTATTTATGATCAAAATAATTACAATACCTTACAACCCGAAGCATGTTCTTACATCGTTGGATCATATATGATCTACAATCGTTAAATATATAATCCGAAAGTTATTTCGATCACCAGCATCCAACGATTAGAGTATGTTAGACATTCAATCCAACGGCGTAAGCATTGTAGCCAAATTCATCAACCTCTCAACTGAAAACGAAAAGCAAATAATATACAATGCGTCTAATGGGATTTCATTAGCAATTGAGCTGCTGAAATTACAAGCATCACGACAGAAAAATGGCAAAAGAAAGAATTTTCTGAAGGAAGAGACATAGCTTACAGAGAGAGAATGTTACAGCAGAGGGGGGAAAGAAACATATACACTCGACTTATATATGTGTCCTAGAGATAAGTAACAATGGAGGCTAATTTCAAGTCAATACCAGCTCGCAAATCCTGGAGAATAAATATACGTGTAGGGAAGAAAGAATGCTGGTTCATGAAGGAAGGTTGTCCTTCGGAGCAGAAACGGAATCGAGAGTGAGCTCTCCTACGCCCTTTGGTGGACCAATGCTGCAACGTTCTGTGCTGTGCTTCACGATTGCGCCTTTTATCTTTTGAAACTGCAAAATCACCGTGTTTCGGAGGGAAGGATCGTGCATAAGTTGGCGTGCAGCAAGTAACATCAGTAACCTCGATTATACTAAAGTTCAGCTGAAGTTGGTCAATGGGGTTCGAATTTTTCGGCTGGTCATGAGAGCCTATTCTGAGATTCCCTACAATGATCTGATACTCGTAATCATAAAGCTAACTCAATCTTAATGGACTAAACACTTATTCTATACACTTCGTTTGCATCATCGTGCCTACCCTAGACTGTTTTCCCAAGATAGAGATCACAGAAGATTGTTCAATTTTCTTCTTCGGGTTTGAATCAACCGTCACCATGTGAAAATATGCATAATCTTTTGTTGAGGGTGCGGAAAGAAGATACTGACCTTAGCAAGCGAACAAGAGAAGGCTTCCAGTTGACCTTCAGACCCTCGGTAGAAATGGAAGAAAGGAAGCACCTTAACATTCAGGCTTTTACACATTGGCTTGTTTTCATCAAAATTGACCTTCAGGAATAGAATCTCCGGGTGTTCTTGGGCGGTCTTGCAGAGCTGGCACATCCATTCACATGATAAACTCAGCACAAAGAGGTATTCCACATTACAAGAAAGAACGTTCATGTTTTTTGTGCAACTTTGTCACAACTTTCTATGAAAAAACTGGGAGTTACGGCAAAAGCTTAAAGATATAGCTCAGAGACCATTCTTGAGGGAAGCTAAGAAAGGACAAGACGACACGGTATGAACTTGTAAAATTACAAGCTTGCGAGCTGACAAGATGTAAGCATATAGATTCTCTTATTCTGTTGAAAACACCAAGACTTTAAACAAGATGTAATTAACAGTCATTCTTTGCATTAAAATATATCATGTAAGCATATCAGGTATCAGAGGGCTTTAATGACTTTCATCCCTTTCTACTCAACTAGTTTGGATGATCCTGCAAAAGGTTATCTACAAAATTTCAATCGTTTTGTTTTTTTAATGATATCTCATCTTTGCTTTCAGTAGAAGCCTTAGCTTCTACTTCCCTGATGGGTATATGTAGAAGTCATGGATATGTGTTGACACTGCTGAGTAAGGTACATGACGTTCTGCCCAGGAAACTCCAGACTCAGATAATGCTTTACGACACACATTAGAGACACTACAGAGCTAAATTAAAACAAAAAATGGTGTGCCTATTGATTCAATTTTGTATTCTCATATGCATCACGTCTACCATAACAAGATTATGTAGATATGAATTTGCTTTTCCAAAAAAAAAATGTAGATATGAATTTCATCTCCTGGCTTTTAGCTATCATTAAAAGTTCGCAATGCCAACTCAAATCGGCACTAACCTAGATTCCAAGATCATGAGAGATTGAGAGTAGCATTCTAGCACACAATTCTATGGATGTGCTGACTTTTCATTTTAACATTGCTTCTCAAGATAGGCAAAGAAACTCTTCATTCCTTTCCAAACACAAGTTTTCAGTTTCTTTTAGAACACTTAAAAAGCTATCAAATGTTGGATTGGCAGATCAGAAGAAGCACAAATTTTGTTTGAGTTGGTGTCTGAAACGACTCTAAGAAGGCCTGACAGAATATGTACTACAAAATGTGAACAGACATTATAAATACCTTGGGAAACAATGCTCGGCAAGAAGCACACCATGTTCCATAAAATTCCACAATAACTAATCTCTCTCCAGCTTCACTCAAGGCACTTAAAAATTCTGGTGTAGAATGAATATCAACCATATTTGGGCCAGCATTTTTCTCCCACCATTTTGGCTGGTCTGTCTCAGCAATAGTTGCATGTACCTGAAGGCAGAAAACAAAATCATCTCAGCACCTAAATAGACCCATATATAAATTCAGCCAAAAGATGTTCCAGCAGAGCAGTCAATCACGTACTAAGTGGCATCCATTCAACATGCAAACCGTACTTATTAGAAGGCGAATTTCCATCATATACATAGAGTATCGGTCATGGAAAATCAAGAGCAAATTAATCGGCCCTGACCAATCAATTTCCACCGATGCTTCATATATATAAGTTGATTAACTAACCGACCCCAATTCACAGACCTCCCAACCATAAAAAGTCCAAGTTTTGATAAGATGCAGTATCTTATTGGAACCATTTATGGTAGAAAGAAATTGTTTTCCTAGGCGAACATGCTCAGACTATTTAAGCATATTTTACAGGAAGGTCCTGCCCTCATGACCAACTTCAGAAAGCAAAAAAACTAACTTCAATGGTAAGCATGGAATTACATAACAAGCAAGTGGCCCTGCGATTATGTATGTCGTTTACATATACATATGGTGTAGCCTGCAATCTTGAAACATCACAAGGCCAATACAAGTCAGAGTCAGACATTGTCCATGGCTTGAATCAGCTCCAAAGACTGATCCAAAATGATAGGAAGTAATGCATAGCAAAACAACCAGCGAATTATGTAATTGCGAGTAAGTACGCAGAGCATTACAAACTATGCATGTAAAACACAAGAGCAACATTGATATTTAGTGATTCAGTTAGTTTATACACGGTGTTCATCAACAGTTTCACAGTGAAAATTACCGGACACTGAACTTCAAGCACAATCTGGAATATCAGGCATCGAAAATTCCTAATCACGGCATGCCAATGCTTAAGAATTCAATTCCAACAAAAGGGCACTCCTAATCACGGCTCCAGCTGAAACCCCCCATTAGAGCACCACTAATTACAAGCCAAAACCCACAATTGGGAAGGTAAAAAGCTCGTACCTTTAAGGAGTGGAATTGCTTCTTTGGGGCTGGAACAAAGGGAGAGACGCCATCAGAAGAGACGAACAGAAAGGGCGAAGCCCTCCTGTCCGAACACGAGCTAAGGGGCGAAATAGCGGGCTGGGAAGAGGAATTCAAGGTGGAAGCAGAGGCCGTGGTAAGCAGGGAGGAAGAAACCCGAAAAGATGGCAACAGGATAGCATCTGCCATTTACCAGAGAGAAGAGAGCCCTCGGAGAACGAAAAGGAAATATAGCTCAGAACATGAATCCTCAATTGGAGCGAAAGAGGTCAGAAACCATGGAAAACCAATTGTTAGGTAGATACGAAGATATTTTTGGTCAAGTTGCGGGGAGAAAGAAGAGGAGAGGATAGGAGAAGAAAAGAAGTATCTGAAGCTGTCGCTGATGCGACCTCTGTGTGAATCTTCTTCTTCTTCTCTTCTTCTGTTGCGTGGGTAAATTGTTTCGAGTGAACAAGGAATCCACCAGAAAAGGCAACTGGCCTTTTCTTTTCCAACTGGAAAGAGAAACTACAATCATATGGAGATTGGGGAAAGGAGAATCCATTGGCAGTTGGCTAGGCGCCTTGACTTCTGGTTTATTTTGTTGGTTTGGAAATGTTGATAAGAAAATACAAAGTGATAAAAGGGACATGATTATGGTGACAAGTTCTGTTTTCAAAACCGGACCGGAGGCTGAACCGGAAAAGTTAGTAGTTTAAGGGTTCACTGGTTAACCGTTACAAAACCGTTGGTGAACCGTTGATAGAATCGTTAATGATATATAACATATAAGACTTGTATATTACACTAATTTAAGAATGAAATTATCATTGACCATAAACAAGTTCAAATTCATATCATCACGAAAATATCTAATAAATCAATCCAACCATCTCACAAAAGAAATCACATTTTTTAATTCAAATTAAAAATTATGGTTCTAGTTGGTAGTAGACAATGTAAAATCGACAATAAGATTGAGGAAGCATATATAAAATTAATAATTATGATTTGATGGTCTTAGTTTATGTTAAAATATTTTTTTTTTGTTAAAATAGTGAACCAATGGACCAGTTAAACCGTGTCGGTTCATCTGATTTTATGTTGAACCGTAAAAAACCGTTTGGTCCATCAATAACCGTTCAAACAATGAACCGGACCGCTATCGTAACTGGTTTGACTGTTCTACTGGCCCGGCTGTTGATCCGGTTCGGTTCTTATAAGCGATTATAATTTTTGTTAGATTATAATAAACGATGGTATATTGGTGAAACAATTTAACGAAGGTTGTCAAACTCGTTCACATCGTTGTGTTAGTGAAGTACGTGGAGTGGTACAATCTATGGTATAATCGGTTATTGTAGATTATGTTGATTTTAATAGTACATGAGAAAAGTGTATAATTATCAAACTCCAAATCAATTAGTTAGGAAGAAGTCATCAAAAGAGCTAATTCACACAAAATAATTTAGGGGTCGTTTGGAGAATATGAGTTTAAATCTATAAATTGTCAACAATTTAAAAATTCTAATTCTCCGGATGATTGAAAACAAATTTTAAAATATTTATTGTTTGGTAACTATGATTTTCTTTTATAATTGTTTGGTAACTATGATTGTTAACCTTCAATGAAAATAAAAATTTTAATTTTATATTAAATAGCATGCTTAACCTTAATAAAAAATGAGGGTAGTTCGAGAAATATTAAAAACTTTATGGATAAATATATTTAATGTGATAAATAAATAAAAGGAAGAAAAGGAAGAAAAAAAGTAGGAGAAAAAATATCTCATGAATCAAGATATAGAATCTCTCTAATTATGAGAGATTTGATATCTATAGATTGTAGATATTCAAAATCTCTAAAAGTCAAAACCACAATAGAAAAAAAGGAACAAAAAAACATAAATTTTTACAAAATCTACGGATTCAGTGAATCCACGTCCAAAATCCTGTTCTCCAAACGACCCCTTATAGCTAAGAACTGGTAACTAATAGTAAGCAATTAGCTACAAAAAAAAATATATATAAAAATGAATTTTATTAGTCGTTGTATGAGGAATAAAACGAAACCCTACTCTACTATGTGAATTATAGCATTATTATATAATATATAAGGTTATTATATGTCACAAACTTTTCTTGTAGCTTACTGCCATTGGTGGTGTACAATTGAGACTAGTGAATATGAGGTATTTTATTCAAATTTCATGATTGGTGCTTATTTTTAGAGATATGTGTGAAAGTGCTAAACTTGGGTTTCTGATATGACCGGAAAGTTTTGTGAATTTGATCGAATTTGACTAGAATAGAAAATCGATGTCTTTCCAACCAATTTAGTGATCGGTACAGATTGTATCCGATTGAACCAACCGGTAGAATACTCGCATGACAACCATGAATACCTGGACTGTGGAGCTGCCAACCAGATTGCCAAAGCCTGATCATACTCCACAACACAACAGAACAACATATTTGTGAAATCCTCCGTCGACTATGATGATTGCCATAAAATTCAAAGGTCCCCAATCTAAAGCTGAAAAGAAGAACAGTAATGCAGAATAAGGAGTTGGTGCATATGTAATACTAACACAACCATCTACTCTCACAGAACAGCATACTGAGTTCTTTGAACTCGCGAGCTAACACTTCATCGGTAAGCAGCCATCTGAGCACTTTGAGACACATGCGACATGGACCACTTGGCTAAGCCTCAGGCAAAAGAATAGAGCGAGGAAATGACCAAGACCCATTATTCGGGGCACCGGGGACATTCAGGATCGAGGCGATCACATTATATATCTGAACATTCTCAAAAGATGGCACCTTCACTCCCCTCCCAAACCGAGGACCATGAGCAATGAAGATGGTCCTCATGGAGAAGAATGCATTGTCATAACCATGGGATCCACCACACTCCTGTGCTGCTGTTCTCTTCGGCTCCACCTTAAAACCCTCGTCGAGCATCCCTATGATCGGCGGAATCCTCTCGCTGTCGGAGTAATGCAGCCTGCGAGGAAGATCTTCCTTGAGATACATCTTCAAGTTCTTCCCATTCTTAACTTTCCCCGACCGCAACCCTTCATTCATCTTTGCAACAACTTCTGTCGGATCAACATCCTTGGAAGGGCGAATCGAAAGAGCCGGAGTATAATCAGACACCCATTCTGCAGGAATCTTGATCCATTCAGCTAAATCCTCGAGAAAGATCAGCTTTTTATCACAGTTACCAACCATGCCATGATCGCCCACCATGATTATGGTAACATCTTCAAAAACCCCTCTTTTCTCCAACCCACCAATCAACCTCCCAATTAAGCCATCAATGTGAGCAACAGCTTCAGTAACCTGGAGATCATCGGGACCGACCAAGTGACCTTGATGATCAGGGTCCTCAAAGTACAGAGTCAGAAACTCTGGAATCTCACTGCTGGGCAAATCAAAGTAGCTCAAGATGGTATCAACTCTATCCTCAAATGGAACTGATCCATTGTAGGGCATACAGAAGCCCTTGGGGCAATCCCAAGAGCCCTTAATCACTTCAGAGCCAGGCCAAAAGTAAGTAGCAGCTTTCAAACCCTGATTAGCCAGGGTCTCCCACATTGGTTCGCCGAGCCACCATTTAGGGTCGTGGCTGCCCATATTGAAGACGGCTCCACTTCTCGGGTCGACAAAATTGTTGTTGATGATTCCATGGTAAGCAGGGTAGAGGCCAGTGACAATGGAGTAATGATTAGGGAAAGTGAGAGTAGGGAATACCGGAATCAGACCCGTCTCAGCCTCCGTCCCGTTGGCGATCAAACGGCGGATGTTGGGCGTCGGAGCCTTGTACTGGTACCCGAACCGGAACCCGTCGGCGGAGATCAACAGGACGACTGGGTGATCCAATTTCTTCAGCGACCGCGCCGCTTGACCGTCTTTGATCGAGGGACGATGAGCCGATTTACCGGGGGACAGGAAGAGGAAGGCGAAGGCGGATGCGGCGGAGAGGGCGGCACAGGTGACGAGGATGAGAGCGATGAAGATGGCCGTGGCGGTGGGTTTGTGCGGCGGAGATGAGGGAACTTCTGTGCTGAAAGTGAGAAGAGATGTGGATTGATGAGATGGGTCTTCTTCCTGGGTCGGAATCGGAGTCGGCTTTGCCGTGGTCAACGCCGATTCAGGACCCATCTTCGGCGTTTTCATTGCTCTCCCGCCGGCAGAGCAAGTTCAGATCATTGCGACGGTCGGAGAGGAGAAGGAGGAGAAGGAAATATGAATGAATGGAGTGGAGAGTTGCAGGGAATGGATTGGGTTTATTTGGAGGAGGCAAAGTTCAGTCACTGACTCACTGTGGAGGTGAAGAAAAAGAGGAGGCTGAGTCGGCGTCGAGATCGAGATTCACAGAAGAGATTCTGTGCCTTGCTGTCGTTAATCTACTGGCAGGCCGATTAATCTGACGGTTGAGAATATATTTTGTAATTGAATTTCAAAGTATTTTTTTTTTCGAAAAACATAGTTTATTCTCGAAAAAAAAAAATCTCAACCTTGAAACCATTTTCTGTGAAAAAATTCTCAAAATTGAAGTCAAATAAAAAAATAAAAAAAAAATCAATCATTTTAATCTCAACATCAAATGTAAATTAAACAAAAAAAAGCATCAAATCTGTGATTATGTGACTAGTTCATACCGTACACTTAGGGATGACAATGTCTCAAGATAGGGTGCATAACCATGGCTCAAGATTTGGTTATGCACCCATCAATAACCAAATCTGAACCCTTCATTTAGAAAATCCAGATCTAAGGATGGAGAATTAAAGACTATTTTTATTTTCACTAGCTTTCTTAATTGACTCATATCTTTTTCGTTTTAACTCGGATTTTAATTTTTTTTGCACAGATGGAACGAGTTCACCGTGCTCTACATAATGAGATCAATTTTCAATATTTTTTGAGGAAAAAAAATTCTGGCCTCTCGGTACCAACTGCATACCATATGGTATTTTCTTCGTTTTTAATTCATTTTTGAAAACGTTTGCACAGCAGGGACGAGTTCATCATGATCTACTGGATCTACAAATTTCTGGGTGAACAAAATACATGACCAAAAAATACCACACAATACCATACAATACCACCCATCTTGTTCGTTTTTAATTCGTTTTTGAAAACGTTTGCACAGAAGGGACGAGTTCATCATGATCTATTGGATCTACAAATTTCTGGGTGAACAAATTACAGGACCAAAAAATACCACACAATACCATACAATACCACCCTGGTACGAGGTGGTATTGTGTGGTATACAATGTTAAAAGTCGTAAATTACAATTAATATAATTCTACTATCATGTATTCAACCATCCTACAGTATTGGTTTGTTCATACCACCATGGTACGTTTTTCAAAACATAGGTATGCTTTTATTTCAATACTAGTCAATACCATATGGTATAGGCTGGTAAAAAATGGCTCAATTTTTTTTGTTCGAAAAATATATTAAAGTGGATATCATTTTGAAGAGCACAATTAATCTGATCTAACTGTGCAAAAAAAATTAAATTTCGACTTAAAATGAGCGAGAAATCGTCCGTCAAAGATTAAAGAGGGAAAAATTAAAGGCTTTCTATGAGAGAGAGGATGCTGATGTCATGCTGATGTAGACGGGTTACTCATAGTTACTCACCATAAGGTTACTGACTTGATCCATTCCCGGATGACAATGAGTCGGGTTGGGGTGGGTTTTGTCAAACCCAAACCCATGGGTTTATCCGTCAAAAAAACCCGGGGTAAAACCCGTTGGGTTTGAAAAACTCAAACCCAACCCAACCTGCTGGGTATCCGCGGGTTCATGGGTACCCGTGGGTTTTGGTGGTAAAAATTTACAATAACAACTTTCTTTCAAAATAAAAGTTTAACATCAATTTTCTCATACAAATTAATCATACAAAAAACACCAATCTAGAGCATACAAGCAAACCGCAAATGATCAATACAAATTGTTCAAAATTAAAGATAAACATATATAAACAATAAGATTAATTGAAAGCTTCTTCTTCGTCAACTAAGTTTCTTCACTCTCCACTTCATAATATCAACTTCATTCTAAATAATTAGAAAGAACAAATTATACATGTCTTCACAAACATATAGAATATTAGTTGTTTAAGAAAGATATAGTATTTAGAATATTAAATATACCGGAAAAGTAATTATATGTGTGTGGGCGGGTACCTATGGGGCGGGTTTACCTAAACCCAAACCCAATCCGACCCGGTGAATAATGTAGCGAGTTTAAACCCGAACCCGGCCCAAAACCCGTCAATACGGGTTTTACCCACGTTGACCGGGTTGGATCGGGTGGGTACCCGTGGGTTCGGATTTTGTTGCCATTCCTATACACAATTGTATACTCCATGATTTTCAAGGATTGTAAAATCGTACAGTCGGTTGTAATGGAAAATTCATTAATAAAATGGTTGTATAACCATTTCCCACCAATAAAAAAAGTCTTCCGATTTACATATACATATGCTCTTACACCAACAACAGCAATGCATTCCTCCAGGCCCAGTTAAAGATGTTTGTTAGCTGAGCCTGGTTCCAACATAGAAAAAGCCCATTGTGAACCCCACCCAACTCGAAAACTGTTTTCCCCTCTAGTAGCAGAAAAAAGGCAACAACTCAAGACCGCCGTCGGTGACTCTTATTGATGGGGTGATGGGGAAAGTTAATCTGCTGACTTGAAAATTCGTTAGCAGATACTAATTGATATTCAAAATACATAAATTAGTATCCAAGTACTAAAGTATCTAGAGAGCACAGACTAGTATTCAAAGTTTGCTAACTGATATCCACCATGAATCAACTATTATCCCAAATTCATAAACTAATATCTAGACAACACAGAATAGTATCCATATAACACATAATTAGTATCCCGATAACACTTAGGGGTCGTTTGGAAGTTGCGTATGTTAAATCGTTGTATTGTTATGAATCACTATGATATAAATGCATGCATTGATACAATAGATGCATTTTGAAATTACATTGTTTGGTTGTTGAGATTATAATTTATTAATTAATTGTTATAAAGTTACTTTATAAGAAAATGTCATATTTGACCTCCACTTTTAATATAAAACAAAAAGAACTATGGACATAATTGGAAAAAGTAAAGGTGCTCAATTATTAAACCAACAATCTCAACTTTTAGTTGAGATTGTACAATCTCTCATTTTTGTTGATTGTTGGTGGGACCCACACAAAACAATACATGCATTGTTTTGCAACTTGACACTTCCAAACGTTGTATTGCGGATAATGTATGTATTTAACAAATACAACACTAACAATCGCAACTTCCAAACGAACCCTTAAGAGTATCCAGATAACACATAAGAGTATCCATATTGAATACTAGTTGGTTGATTGTGGATATTAGTTGGTATCTGCTATCTGGATACTAGTTTGTGATGTTTTGAATACTAGTATGTGTTATCTAGATACTCAGCAGACTTGGATATTAGTTCATATATTTTGGATATTAGTTAGTATATACTAACGAATTTTCAAGTTAGTATAATAACTAGGCTGGTTATTGCTACCCGGCCGAGAGACTGACGGGAAACGGGGAAAGCAAAGAACGGGGAAAGCAAGCGCAAATGGCCTACTTGAGCATGGGAGAATCACACCGAAGAATCACTGACTACCTCAATAGGTTCGCCGACGCTATCAACTACCAGGACGGAGATTCTCTGGCTCGGCTATTCTCCGTCTCGTCCGACTCCCCCTCTCTCCTCTCGCTCGCTGACGCTCTCAACGTCTTCCAGGTTTGAGCAACAGAAAGTACATCTTAGAATAGGGTTTGCTTGCTCACTTAGTAATGGCTTTTCCCGATTTGTTGATTTGGGTTTTTGCTTTCCGTCGGATTCATCGCAATTAGGATGCTAATAGACTGATAAAGCAATCGGAGAAATTCTCGCAATTTGGGGAAGTAGTAGCTCCGTTCTTTCGTTCCCTGCAATGCTATCGAATTGGCAACTTGGTCGATGCTTACGGAGCATTTGAGAAAGCTTCAAAGTTTGTGACTTCTCTTTCCACACTTCTTCCTTTTGGGGTTTCCCCTTTCCTTGCTTCCAGTTTGCTGTTCTATCCCTCTTTGCTGATGGTGGGGATTCAGTGCCTTTATACAGGAGTTCCGGAACTGGGAATCGGGTTGGGCGTTGGAGGCACTCTATGTCATTGCTTATGAAATACGGGTTCTTGCGGAGAGGGTAATGATGACTTCGGCTCTTCAGAACTTGAATTCGATATCTAGTGCTTGTTGTTCATCCGGTGAAGTGAAGGAGTGAAAAGTTCTTGATACTTGTAGGCAGATAGAGAGCTGGCTTCGAATGGGAAATCACCGGAGAAATTGAAAGGAGCGGGTTCATTCCTCATGAAAGTGTTCGGTGTTCTTGCTGTATGCTTCTCCCTTTTTCACCACTCTGCTTTGCTCTGCAGTTCTGACTACAATGTGTTATGGTGAAGATATTGTTTCTTGGTCGTTACTAATCCTAAGGGATCCTGTGATCTACAGGGGAAAGGTCCGAAGCGTGTCGGAGCACTGTATGTGACTTGTCAGTTGTTCAAAATATACTTTAAGGTAATAGCTTATCATTCCCTTGTCTACTGTAGATGTTTTTAGCATTAAAGCTTTTCCTTTGGTCTTTCTTTCATTAGGGAGTTCTTGAACATAAAGTTTCAGGAAATGCCAGAATTCTAACAGTTACTGGTTTGCAGCTTGGCACAGTTAATCTTTGCCGTAGTGTGATAAGAAGTATAGAAACTGCCCGAATATTCGATTTTGAGGAATTTCCGATAAGGGATAAGGTGAGAAACTTGGTTTTCCGATCGTTGTGTTGAGTTCATATGTTTGTGCTGAATGGTTTTGCACTATTTAACTGAAGTCTTTCCTTTACTCAATGACAGGTCACTTACATGTACTACACTGGCCGTCTGGAAGTTCTCAATGAAAATTTTCCAGCTGTGAGCATCTTGAACATCTGCTGATTGTTAATCCTATTAGTGGCTTTTCACTTTTGAGATGTACAATCAGATATAGACTTTAGCTCTTATATTGTGTTTTAGGTCTTGAATCCTTAACAAAATAGTGTCTAATGCATTTGTGGTTTCTGAGTGTAATGTGTATAGCAATACATTGTGCTCTCTATGTGATTTCAACAAATAAGAACTCTTGAATATAGATTAGATGCTATTAGTTAACCATCTAAAAGCGTAGAAACACATTGATCCGTCTTAACTTGTGGTTATCCTTGTTACCTTGCAGGCAGATCAAAAGTTGTCCTATGCCTTAACACATTGCTGTCTCAGCAAAGAGGCCAATATAAGGTTTGGTTTGTTGCACTTGCTGCTTTGTTGTGAAACCAGTGATATTTTAACACTTCTACCGTCAATAATTTGTTGGCTGTCTGTACTTGGTGAATGTTGTTCCTCTTAACATTTTAATGATATCTTTTTTGTGTTCCTCAGGATGATACTGAAATATTTGATACCAGTGAAGCTTTCAATAGGCATTTTACCAAAGAAACAGCTCCTTGAAAACTATGATTTAGTTGAGGTACATCTCCTTCATTCTCGTTCCATAACTTGGTTCACTGGCACTTCCCTTGATACCTGGGAAATGGATTGTATTATTCATGAACGTGAAAAAAAAAAAAAACAAATTAATGCAAGGATTAGCATAAGCATATTCAAGATTTTAAGTAGTATACAGGTTGTAGCATTTTTTCTCCTTCAATGGAATGTTCTAATACCACGGTGTTCCCCTTGACAGTACAACAACATTGTGGAAGCCCTAAAGAGGGGCGATCTCCGACTGCTCCGAAGTGCTCTCCAAGAGAATGAAGATCAGTATGTTGTCATTTTGCAGCCTTATTGAAGTTCAAATTTTTGGAAACCCGTATTTGCAGTTAAAGCTAATCTAGTCTGCGCTTTGTTCTCTTTGTAGGTTTCTACGATCAGGAGTTTATCTTGTCCTAGAGAAGCTAGAGCTTCAAGTTTATCAAAGATTACTAAAGAAAATGTAAGTCCCCTTGTTTTGTCCCTTTTTATACACCATGGTGATGATAAGCCGAAACATCTGCTTTCGTCTTCGTGGTACTGACTCGAGCACAATCCCCACAGCTACATCATCCAAAAGCAAAAGGACCCTAGCAAAGCTCACCAAGTGAAGTTGGAAGTGATTGTTAAAGCATTAAAATGGCTCGAGATTGAAATGGACTTGGATGAGGTACTTATTGAATTCCATTTCTCCAGTTGCGTTCTTCCCTTCTCTTGGGTTATGTTATGCTTTGCCAACTGAAGCATTTTGTTCCGTCTACATTTGTAGGTGGAGTGCATAGTGGCAATTTTGATATATAAGAACCTTATGAAAGGTTATTTTGCCCACAAGAGCAAGGTTGTAGTGTTGAGCAAGCAAGACCCTTTTCCCAAATTAAACGGGAAGCCGGTTGCTTCTTAGGGATTCAATGCCCTGTTTGGCGACAGTAGAAGTATACGCTAAGTTCTGACCGTGTTACTATAAGCAGCTTACTTCAGTTTACTATACTGAAAGTGTCGAGAAGACTTTATATATGTTGTACGTTATAATTCAATTTTGATTTGCAGCCTTCTCTTGTTTACAAAAATTTCATTCCTATTTTCGTAGCCTCCTGTTAAGTAACCATTTCTCTTTTTTTACAATTTGAGATATGACAAGCCATTACAAAATTCAAAGGTTATGATGTGGTAATGTTGCGTGCCAGGAACACAACATGAGCTTGCTCATTCAAGAAGAGAGGAAAGGAAAAATCAGCAAACATGGCAATCAAGGAATCGCGATCCTAAAGTTAAGCCCCAACTCCTGGCACGCATGTGAAGGAAGCAAGGTGTGAATGCGAGAAACTCAGAGCTTCGAGCCTAGATGGATTGAGTGGCCATCTCCGAGAGATAACATGTAAAGAGCGAGACAGCATCTTGCAGATGGTTTGAACAAAGAGCTTCAGGGACGGGAGCCGTAAGAACTGTCTCAAAGCAGCTCAACTGGGCATCCCGTGATTCTCCCCAACTACTTATTGAGAGCAGCAACTCGGATATCTCCTCGGCCATCTTTGAGTATGCAATCCTGCGCCGACATCCACAGCCATAATAAATAACAACCATGAATCCGTAAAAAAATACGAGATGATCCCCTCAGCTCCCATCTCAGACCGACCAAAGTTTACTGCTAAATTGTTTCTCGCGCGATTTAAGACACTACTTTTCAAAATTGAAAGAGTTTTTATGTTTCCTCTCAATGATTGAAAGCAAGTACATTTCGTCAAACTCCAACGTCTCAATGGTCATTCACGAGATGGTGATCTTCGAAGTAAACGCACATTGCATATAGCACATATAAATGTCAAATAGGTCAAGCATTCATCGCAGATTGATGCATGGTCATTCACGAGATGGTGATCTTCGAAGTAAACGCACATTGCATATAGCACATATAAATGTCAAATAGGTCAAGCATTCATCGCAGATTGATGCTTTAAAAGGCAGATAAATTATGGATGAGAATGTTGAGAATGAAGTTGTACCTTGCATCGGTTGGCAATCTGTTGCCCAAAGTCTCTAAAGATTCATTAAGCTGACTAAGGAATCCCCTGCATTCAGAATTCTTGCTCTCAAGAGGATCCTGCAAAAGTTACCACCCAGGCAAAGCTTCAGTTGGCCTATTCATACTGTTACTATACGATGAAAAGTACAGCAACTCATCTATATTGTTTAGTGAAGGAATTTTTATTGGCTCTGAAGATTCAGTAGTTTACTACTTAAGCAGAAAGAAGAACTGATTTGTGCCTAAGATCTTTGCTATGCATATTGTCATCCTCAGCAGGGCCAATTCAGTCAACAAAATTGCTTGCATCCAAGGAATAACAACCTGAATCATGGATAATGATTGCAAACATTGTACCTTTTCGTTCATGGTATTGTTATCCTCTTGAAATGAACTTTTAAGCTGTAAGAAGGAAATATAGATTCCAGCTCCCAAGTCCCAGTTTTCAATTTCAGATTTGTGTTCCTCCATATGAGTAGCAAGTCTCCAAACTTCTGAATGCTTATCTGCATTGAAAAGATGGCATCCCCTCATAAGCAACAGTCAGACTAGCTCACTAGAAAGATTACGGAAACCCAGCAACCAATTTCGTGTTAAATGTGTGCCTAATTCGAAGAATGTTCATGATACAATTCAATATATCACAAGTACACTGGAACACACAGTATGCAACTTCTGGATGCTTATATTACCAGACAAAAACAGTGTATGAGCGACTGAAGTTGTAAAAATAGAGTGAGCCTTCTGCCAGTGTGCACATTCAAGGAAGTGCTCAAGGGCCTTTGACAGATCCCCATGGTAATTGAAATATACTGCCTGCATTACAAAAGAAGTTTATTTAGTGCAAGATTCACCACCCAGGAGATTTTGAACTTAAAAGAGTATATTAAACGATAACTTCATTAAGAAACAACAAGATTCATAGTGTGTCAAGTGAAGATTATATTCTCGAAACCCGAAGCTTCACACGTGCTCAAATGACTGAGAATGCACTCGAACATTATTTTCATTTGTTCAACAACAACAAGATTATTTAATGCTTTGCTCAATATTTAACCAAGATCAAACTCAGACAAAGTAAGCTAAAGCTGGATGATGAAGCTTTTCAGGTAATCACTCTGCATCCAGTAATTCAGTTTGATAGACATAGGCCCTGTTCACTTCCATTTTCGTTTCTTGTTTTCTGTTTTCATGTCATAAATTTGGCAACCCAAACGAGAAAATTTGTTTACTTTTCATTCTGTTTTCTATTCATTTCCTTCTATGAAAACAGAAAGATACAGTAACAATTTTTGTTCCTGACTATAATCTGAAACTGTAACATCTAATCATCCATGTTCAGACAAACTTGCAAGAAGCCAGGAGCCCCTGCAACTGTTGTTCTAGGTTCAATATTATTTGATAAGATCACATGCGATCATCAACAAAGACACAAACAGCATAATAGACAAGGAAAAAGTCGATTCCCTTTGAACAGAGTTAGAATTGTCCACACAATTAACCTGGCGACAACATAACAAGACTACCATAGTTCTTCTAGTCTGAGTTTGATTATAACTTCCATGGACAATATTTGGCTTGCTAATTTCCAAGAGATTTCACACGCATAATTTAAATGCATCTACCAGTTTCGCCTGTGTTTGTGTTTTTTTATAGGACTTTCACCTGTGTTTATGTGCATGCCTAAGGTGAGGAGAGAAACATCAGGGAGCAATAAACTATACCATAGCTTCATGCAGCCACTCCGATGGAATTTCAAGGTTCTGAATGAATTGGTATTGTGATTCGTCTGAACTCCAAGTTTCACAATACTGAAACAAAATTTCCCGAATTACAGTAGCATGTAGATAAGGATAATCATCACATTGTGGCATGTGAAGCACCACATAAATCGCCCAATGACATTGTCCAGTGCACAATAACTGGGAAACAATTCCCATGTCAAGCACTTGAAGATCATTAGAAGTAAAGACACCAGCTGCCTCCAGAACTGCTCTTTGATGCCAAATCATATGGTAGTCTAGTGGATCATATGTTGAAGATGAAGTAGTGAACATGGTCTTCAGAGAGCCAAATTTACCCTCCCCGTTGGCATGCAGAAGCATGAGATAGTATGTGAGATCAAAGTTCTTTTCTGTATCACCTATTTCCTCCTCAACTGGTCCTTCATCTACATAAATTGGAAGAGGATATGGAGCTTTACCTTCATCGAGGAGGAGTTCATAATTTTTGAAAAGATCTGGCAATGGTGTCTCAGGCGACAGACGATACCACATCAGCAACCCTAAGAATCTTTTCCAGTCAATTTGAACACCCTGCAAAGCATTGTGAATATTACCAGAAAGCAACTCATAGATCCTTGTCCTCTCTTTCTCAACAAAATTGAAATCTAGTCCATTGGCCCTCCAAAGATCAAGTTGTCGTGCAACATCAGCACGATTAACAGTTGATCCACCAGCCTGACTAAGCAAACACGCCAATCTGACATCTCCTCTAGAAACAGCCATTTCGACCGCTGCATCCAGCTGCCTCCCAGTAAGGAGTATGAAGATTTGTTCGAGATAACTGGATTCATCCAAAGAGCTCAGATCCTCTTGAACACGATGACATACACTTTCTTGCAACCAACAACTGAACTCTGCTCTCCTAATAAGAGGAAGTGATTCCTCGTCAATTTCTGGAGACCCTTCTTTAACATCTGGCATCATGTCTTCCTCATTGTCAGCACCTAAAGAATTTGGTCGGCCAACATTTTCCCTTACAGAGAAAAGAACTTTAACCAATTCCCAGATCAGGACTTGGTGCATCAAAACCAGACGTGAGGATGAAGACAATCCAGGAACCTCCAGCTGTCTCTCAATTATATCTATATAATTCCGACAAATTTCAGCAAGAGCCAGCCGATTAGTAATCACCTTCTGAAGTTTCAGTGTAAATGAACCTACATGAACTTGTTTGATGTCACGATTTAACGATTTGTGGAGGTTGAAAGGGGCATCAAAAGCACAGTCAACAAGTTCCTTTCTGGTTTTATCATTTTCATCGCTAACCACTTTGTCAATGCTAACTTTCTCGACGTTTATGACAGAAGATAACCATCTTTCAGAGCTGCTACTACTTACAGGGGCACCAGAATGAAGAAGAACACCATTTGGACCCCATCCGACACGGAATGATTTGCCCATGAATAACCCAGCATCAACTATGTTGCGAGAATGGCTTCCAGTTACTGGTGTCTGGCGGTCCAATTTGAGCTTGAAGCCATCCCCTCTAACTGGGTTTAAAGGAAATGCCATCTTTTGTTGGGCCATCAATATATTTCCAGGAGAAGTAGAGTCAACAACATCAGGATTGTACTCGAGCAAAGCCAATGGTGTTTTCCTCACTGCAGGCGGACTAGATCTGCGAGGCATCCTCTCCGAGGCATTCAGCAAAGAACGCTTCATGTGCTCTTTACTTCTGGACATCTTGGGATAAGAGAGATCATTCAAATTTTCAACCCCATCCTCATCCTCAGATGGAAACATCAACATCTTCATCTCTTTCATCTTTCTAGGGTCAAGGCCAAGATGCGCTGGAAGAGAGTGATAAAGCATAGGCCCTGTAGGCTCAATTTCCTCTTCGGCTTCCCCATTTTCCTCAAGAATCTCTGCATCTTTATTCACCCTGGAAGGATCACTAACTTCCTCAACATCATCCATTGTGATGTCTTCTTCATCATCTTCGGTCAATCCAAAACGACTAAAATGTTGGACCGAAAACCTCCAGTCACCATTCGTGGGGTCAAACGAAATGAAGCGGGCTCCTTGCCTCTCCATGCTCTTTCTCAATTTCTCCACAAGATCTTGAAGCTGTTCCTTATTTGGGTGTAAAGGTCTAACTTTCAAATTCAGAGTTACTTCAGCAGGCTTGTTGAGCCCCTGACCAACTGCAGGCTTAACACTTTCATCCCCATATACAACAATTTCATGCCTGTACAACTTCACAATGTGATCAACTTCCAACAACCTAACATCAGTCTGCCCCAGAAACTTGACACAACCATAACCAAACCTCCCAACCGTGAAATCCGGAACTCGACTGCAATAACCAGGATCTGAAATTTCCCTAGCGGCCAAATCAGCCAAACAAGGCTTAATGTAGTAATCTGGTGCGGTTAAAATGGGCAATAAGGCTTCTGCCTCTCTCAATTCCCTGTCAGGCGAGATTCTTCTCTTCTTGTATTGTGTATGTAAATGGGAAGTTGGCACATCAAAATCCCCTCCACAGGAAGTCCCAAAAGCGGCACTGCTCCGCATGCTCTGGATTTCACCACTGCCCCCTGGGAGCAACGACGCAAACAGTGACTTATAGACCCAACAAAAGGCACAATCCAGCTTTCCAGCATCGAAATAAGAACGAAAAACGCCTAGTGCAATTCGACCTCTATGAAACCAAATCTAGCACACGAGTTACAGACACGCAATGGCGGCAAGCAATGCCTAGGGAGTAGGGGAAGAGGACTAACGAAGACAGAACTCCAGAACTGAGGGCAATAACTACTGAGTTGCGAGGAGAAAATGAAAATTCAATAGCTGAAATTGTTCTATGGGCCATAAGTCGGGGTCAATCTTATACGTTCGTCACAGACAAGCTTCAGTTTTCAATCAGGTAGATGGCGAATCCGGCGGGGATCGAGAGCGAGCTTCAAAAGTTCGGAAGTTGGAAATGATTAGGAAGACGAAGGGAAGTGGAGTCTTACCTGAACGAGGAGTAGGAGGAGCGAGAGCGGAAGACGCCATGAGTGATCAGAGGAGCAGCAACCAGGGAGGAAGGAAGGAGAAAGTGGAGCACAGGAAAGGCGGGCAAGTAAAAGAGGTGATTTTGGTTTTAGCGGGTTTAGGACTTGGGGCGGAAACTCGAGAGTCGAAACTTTTTTTTACCTCTGTAGATTCGATTCGACCACAGTTTATAATGATTTTTTCCCAAATACACACGTTTTTTAAAAAATTCTCAAAATACACACGTTTTAAAAAATATTCTCAATCTATTTGGGCTTACCGCAATCTTCAGAAGCGATGAACAACTTCACAACAACCATCAAAGCCGGATGGGAAAGAGAGGCAAGTGCATTCTACATAAGCAAATTCTCCACCTGCAGCGAAGATTAATGAGTTGATCAAGGTGATCTTACATGATAGGAAGCAAGGCAAGACTCAAGAGTCCTAACCATAAAGTGGAAGAATGTCAAATCATGAGGGAGGCCAGCACTATATAAGAAAATATGTCATTGTGAATGGTAGTAGTTCCACCAATAGCAACGATCCATGTGGTAAGTCGCACAATCCGAGGTGGAATGACCGTTTGGTATATGCATGGGTCACGCCATCCGATCAAGAGCCTCAGGTTCAAGCTTTGACATCTGTTTCTTATCAACCACAACTAGGGGTGGTAATCGGAAAACCGGTATTCGGTATTACCAGATACCGTACCGGATACCAGCGATATCAGTATTCAATGACGTGATTTGGCATAACGGTATACCAAATAATACCCGATAATATACCGACGACAATCCGGTATACCAGAATACCGAAATAGCATAAATGAAATAAGGGCAAATGATGCTCTTACTTCTGCTTTCAGAACCTCAACCCGTGGCACTTTTAGCATATCACATTCCTGGACAGTGAAAAGTGTTGATTTTGGGATTTGATCTAGGCATTTGGTGTTGCTTGTTTAATTGGTGGGATGTATAATTGGATGATAATTGGACAATTGGTTTTGGTCTTTTGGAAATGAAATCGGAGCAAACAGGGAGAGCTTGCGGCAGGCAGAGAGAAGAACAAGAGAGGAAGATTTTCTTTCTTTTTATTCTTTCTTACCTTACACCAATGCATCCACGTTCAGGCTTTATTTTAACAAGCCACCAAAATTACTACTTAAAAATCAATAAAACACTACTAACGGGATTAAAATAACTACGATGCTTATAAAAAAAACTAGCGTGGCCCCGGCCATTTGGCCGGACGAAGATGAGATATGAAATTTGATAATGTAATGGGGTGTATAGATTGTTGTTGTATAGTTTTTTTTTTGGGAACACGTGATAAAAATAGTGAATTTTAGTAGAAAAGACACATGAATGATGCAACGAATCAAAAATCAGCCTTATGAACCAAAATCAAGTACATGTTACCTTGTGAAACAATATTGTTTCTGGTAATATGATGAGGTGGAGTAAGTTTTATAGAAACCGAATTCCAGAAAATCGAATAAAAAATCGCATATCCCGCCGATTTTCGGGAAATGAGCATCTCATAATCGTTGATAGCTTTTACTCGGCCAGTTGGCCGATTAATTTGCTTTATAAAACTTTCATCTTCTCATCATTGTGATTTCTGGTTTTTTGCCAAGCCATGATAAAATCTAAAGAAATCAAGAATGAACAGCACGATTTGGGATAGGAACCACCGTTCCTGTATCCCTAGAAAATGGTGGTAAACACGGACTCACCTGCCACACTGGTTTGGATTGAGATTTTTATAGGGTATCAGAGAACCATCTAGATAATAAATAAAAGCCGAATGATGAAAACTGTTGCTCCATTTCAAATTTCCTGCAACGAGAGTGATTATAGGAAGGACATTTTGGTCTTCACAATTACTTATTTTCTTATTTATTTATTCATAAAAAGGCATACACTGGGATTTGAACCTTGATCTCTTTAAAGGCAAGCAAGGACCATAACCAATCACACCAAGTATATTTGTTGTATCTATTTAAATTCAAACATACACGAACCTAAATTATGAAAATCATATGACTTTTTTAACGATTAGTTGGCCACTGAATCTCCCGTAAGTACTTATTTGGTGTTTTAATACTTTGATTATTTTAGTTGTAGTTTAATACTTAATTTAAATTTCTATCTATTTTATAAATATATGATAACCCTAAAATTGCAGCCCAAATATCACTGGTTCGAATATTGCATATCGAATTGCAATATTAAACATGTAGAAGCAATATCAACTTCTTAAATTAGTATTATTTTTTAGAATTACTATGGAGAAATTATATCTTTGTGCAAACTATATGAGACTGGTTCTTTTAATGTTTTAGTCGGGATAACCGCTACATTTTAAACTTCTTCATAATCTGGCATGATTGGATCCAATGATCATTATACAAGATTGTGTTTAATAGGGTGGCTTATTTCACCACTTTTTGGAAGATGGTAGATTGTGTAGATTGTGATGAGTGTAGATGTAGACCTGTCATTGTCCTACAAATTCATTAACACGCCAAAATTAGAAGATGTAGACCTTCTAAAAAATTGTGATGAGTGTAGATGTAGACCTGTCATTGTGATGAGTGGCTTATTCCTACAAATTTAGAAGATGCCAGTGCGGTCGGTCTGTTGAGCACGAAAGTAAAAATATATTTTCATTTAAACTGGCCCAAACTGTTATTTGACCCACTAATCGTGCACCCATCGCCAATGCAGTCAAATTAGGGATTTTGATCGTAAAATCGTAGGATTTTAGGATTTTACTTAGGGATTCCGATCTTGATTTTACTATAAAATCGGTGGACCTTAAAATCGTTTAAAATCGGGACTAAAATCGTTAAAATCGTAAAATAGTACCGAAATCGGGATTTTGATCGTAAGAGAACAAAATAGGTGGTTTGAGCCAATTTAAAATAAGTATAACTGTTTCAGCGGAAAGGGCAATGGAATCTTCTCAGATATTTTTTCTATTAGAAAAATATTCAAAAATAATAAAAATAACCAAATTAGGGTTCGGTTAATCTCTTTCCCTTCACCACATTTAACTTATTGGTAAAACACCTGTCCTAATATTGGAAGTATGTAAGAACTAACATCATTATTAACTAATTTATTTATTAATGAATATATTTGTACCAAGCCACTAACATTACTTATTTTATTGGAGTTCAATTATTTTTAGTTTTAAATCATACTTAGTAGACGATGTCGAAATATTACTTTGAGTTAAACAACCTAGACATAACATGAAAATAAGAGCCAAACCCATGAACTATATCCCTTCATCATGAATTATTTTGAGTTACACATTAAATAACAATTAAAATAGTGATTTTGGAATATTAATCTTGAGAATTATCTTACGGAAAAAAAATCTTCTGAATTATCATTTTAAATGCTATGTGTCTTTGTGATATTAATAATTTACCTTATTAATATTCTTATATGCTATGTTCTATATGGTACTTAAAATCCTACGATTTTAGGATTCGATTATACGATTTTGATTTTACCCCAGTTTTCGATTTTAGGTAAAATCCCGATTTTAACTGCTTTGCCCATCGCAGCCTCTCCAAATCTTCCTATTCTACTCGCCGGGTCATCTCCTCCACTACAAAATATCTCCTCATGTACTCAAAGTTCTCACTGAAACCTAATATCTACAACTTAGGCGCAGAGGGAGCAACCGATGGATTGTAGCGACCCCCACTATTTTGATAGCTAATCAAGAAGAGCGCGTTTGTTTAGTTGTATGGTGATTCACTTAATTAACAATTTTTATTCCGTTGACAGCCTCCTCTCCGCAATTGTATTGTGTTCACGAAGATCTGAAGGCGCAAGTGCAACAGGTCCAGGGGTAAACAATATGTATAAAGCGTTGGCCAAATTGAATTGAGTCATTCTACTTGAAATATGAAGATTTTTGCTTAATTGCTTTGGTTCGTGATGCAACTATGTTATGTTTGAAGGTAGACCAACGCAAACAACAGCACAGCTCCAGGGCTATTCTGCACATTAGGTAGTTGGGGCATTAATTGATAATTATTTGGGATTATTCCTACAAGTATATAATTTGGAACGTGCCTTTATATTGCATTGATTAATAGTTGTTTGAGATTTTTCAAATGAGTGATTTGACATGTTAAACTCTCTTATTTTTGAAAATGGAGTCTTCGAAGTGGAATATGAAGATTTTGGATTAAGCTTGGTTTCGTAACGCCCTTATGGGTGTTTATTCTCTAAAATGCAGCTGTCTTTCAAAGTGCCCGTTGCAAATGGCAAGTCAGGATACAACGATGGTACCGGTACACGTTTATATCATTAGTAGGTAGCAGATTGTGTCCATTCTACTATATCATTTAGCTAAATACTTAGTTGTTCTTTTCAACTTAAAATTATGCTTAAATGCTGTGATTGGCCTCAGAAATGTTTGTCTTTGCATTAACTGTTAATGATTGTGAGTTTTGGTTTAATGGTGAAAAGTTCATTTATTTAGAAGTCTAAATTGGGCAAACCTATTGGACAATAGGAATGCCATACATTAGTGTCGTGGGAGGTTTGTTTGATGTCTCAGGGTGTTAGATTTTTTAGAAGGTTGTTTGTTGTGGCAGAGAGTCCCTAAAGCTAGCGAGGTATTCCTATGTGGGCTTTTTCTTTGTTTGACTTTTTCTCGCCTTTTTTCTTATCTCTTTTTCTATTTTTGGTTTTTGTGTGCTACCTTCAGTTGCTAGGTCTTCATTTGTGAGCCATCTATACTTTTCTTATTCAGTGCCTAAAAATCATATATACTCGATTGCATAGTAGTTACTAATAGATACATTTATACCAATAGAGAGATTTTAAGTTTTATCAGTTGTTAGTTTTAATATTTACTTACATTGGTTGTTTATTTAGTTTTCCTTGTAATATTTCTCATTATACAACTAACTACTATGGCTACGTAGTTGTATAAGTGGGGGTTGGACATGATAGTTCTTAGAAGCATCAATACTTGAAGGTTATTATAATGACAAAATTCTAAAGTTATGGTTTGCCTTCAACTTGCTTGGAGCATTTCAATTATGCATCAATTGTTCTCTCTGTGTAGTTAACTCTCAGACAAATCGAAAATCTTGCTGAT